TCGAATTATACAAAGTCAAACGTCAGCAAACTAAGCTCAACCTCGAGATTGAGTAGTTGCAAGTTATCGTAGTTTAAATATTTTATCACTATATACGTGTGCATAAGCGTACATTAATACTAATTTGTTAGTTTGTATAGGTGTGTTTGTCGCACTGCTGGTAAGGTTTATGCGTTTCCTCATATTTGTTCAATACTGATAAACTTCAGAGGTCTAAAAAGGTTATAACATTTCTAAGACAACTCTAAATATACAGGGTGTTCGACCACCCCTGGGAAAAATTTTGATAGGAGATTCTAAAGGTCAAAATAAGAAGAAAATCAAGAATACCAATTTGTTGATGGAGGCTTCGATAAAGTGTTATTAACGTTTAAAGTTCCGCCTGTACTGAATTTTTTCTCGAAAGTGTGTAGGATTTCGAGGGTATGTCTATTTACCAAAAATGTTTGTAATTGAGCCTCGCAACCGAAACTAATTTTTCCAGAAAGATTTGAAATTTTTTTTGGCCTAAAAATTTTGGCACCCATTTTTATGGAGTTTTTCTCACTTTACGGGGTAAAGGAGCAACTTTTCGAATATTTTTGAAACATCTACATATTCTCCACTAAAATACGCGTTGTTTACTTTTTGAAACATTAAAATCGTCCAATTCGTTCAAAAGTTATGATGTTTTCAAGATTCGCATGAAATTTCGGGGCACCATTTCAGGCCTCAGATTACATTTTCGGTAAGGAATTTTTTTCTCGAAAGTGCGCAGGATTTCGAAGGCATGGCTATTCACCAAAGATGATTGTAATCGACCCCCGCAACTAAAAATATTTTTTCCAGAATGATTTGAAATTTTTGAATTTAATTTTTTAATAACTTTTTAACGAAGTGTCAATCAAGAAATCGATATTCTTGGTCGTCGTCTTATTTTGGCCTCTAGAATCTCCCATTAAAATTTTTCCCACAGGTGGCCGAACACCTTGTATAGAAGGGAGTTATTGAATGAGTTTACATCAAATTTAATCATTTGTTTGAAACATTGCTCGGTAATTATTTACTTTAGCGATTCCTCACCAATTTCGATGACCTTGAAATATGTTGTCAAGGTCGCTGTTATGAAGATTTTTTCTCTGTACATATAACCACCATTCGGCCTTAGTTTCCGAGATTTTTCTTCAAAAAGATCGATGCTACTAAATTACTTCTGTCTATACTTACGTGATTGTGGCAGTGAGTGTGCAAGCGTTGAATCGCCGATTGTTTATTGTTTTTATAGATACACCGAGGCAATGGATGCGTATAACGGATGTGCATAAAAACTCGATAAGAGTAGCCGGCTGCCTGACGACGGCTGGCATAAACAAATTTTACCCAAACCTTACTTAAACCTAACTATTCTCTCTAGTAATTAATATAATGGATTAGGTTTAGGTTAGATTTTATTAGACGCAGACATCTTTTATTTATTTCAATTTTCTTTATTAATATTATGCGATATTAGCTTGATACAGCATACATTATTTGTTGTTGGTCGTCATGATTTTGATACAAGAGTACCTGCATTATTTGATATAATGGCAGACATTTTTCCAATTTCTGTTAATAATAACGATAATAATAATGATAATAATAAAGAATAAAGTTTAATATTTAATCTCCAACTCAACTCGAGGTTAAGGGGGGAGTCTCATGTGAATGATAGAAAAATGAACCATTTTTCTTAATTTTTTTTAAGGAAATGTTACATTTGACGTTATGATTCTTTTTTGTAGTTTACTTAGCTATCCTTTGGGAATACAAGATAATTTTTTTATTAATTTTTATTAACTTTTAATGTTGTTATCACGTCCGCAATAAACATGTGTTTAAACACTAGCGTAGGTAATTGCAGCTCTCAAGGTTGACTAAATCAAAACAATCAAAAACATTTTTATTCGGTAGGTTTACAGTTATCGCCCGTACCAAAATAATTAATTTATGTTGCAAATTGACAAAATGGTGAAAGCTTAAAGTAAAAATTGCAAAATTTCGTCGTTTCTTTTGCAACTTTTTAATAAAAAAGATATGATAAACTCATTATAACAATTTGATTTTGGTACGGGCGAGAACTGTTAGTATGTGGAACAACGTGTAAAAATTTCAAAGCAATCGAACGTATAGTTTTCGAGATTTTATCTACGCCAGTTAAGAAAGTAACGTTTCGAGAGAAACGCGTTTAAAGTCTGCAAGATCATATTCATCAATCTCACCTCCATATAGAATTCCTTCCAGAATATTGGCATCTAGATGACAAAAACGCTAAAATTTCAACTTCTAATAACAGCAGATGTCTCTTGACCCTGTCGTAAACCTTTCGAAACAGTAATGTCTGGACTGTACATAGTAATCATCCGAAGCAATGACTCCGGTAATTACCGCGAGGGCTATACAAAAAATGTTCTACAATCCACAATACTTGACATTTATCTCTCAAAATTTAACAGTACATTCTTAAATATATACTTTCAAAAAATGAAGCAAAAAAAAAATTGATATTTTTGAGGTCTCACATGAGACTCTCCCCTTAATTCAGACTTAAAATAATTTTTGCAAATATCTCGAAAAGGAAGAGCGAGCGGCGGTAATATGTATAAAGAAAAAATCTTCATAACAGTGACCTTGACAACATATTTTAAGGTCATCGAAATTGGTGAGGAATCGCTAAAGTAAATAATTACCCACTGCTATAAATTCTAGTACAAAAATTCGGCACGAACTCATGGAATAACCTAATATTTTAGAAACTTCTAATACTGTCTTTTCAATATTACACTGTTGAAATACTTTTAAGTAGCAAAGTAATAAGTAATGATGTACCTTTCCTTATCGCGCCTACTTATGTAAATATGAAATTATTTTGAGTTATACAATCGCGCTGGTAGGCAATTAGGTCAGACGCATTTACCGCAGCGCAAACACCGTCAAAAGCTTCCACGTTGGGAAACAGCGGGTTACGCCTTTGTGGCGAGGCAATCTCCTGCTCGAGGCTCGAAGAAAGCACTGTCAATACCTTCAATCCTTATCCGGTGCGAAGTTACGGCGCTCGAGTTGACGTGCATTCCTTTCAACCAAGAAATGCCAACCGTTCGTGACAAAAAGTAACACATTTACTCTAGAAGATACTCGACCCAAATAATCCTCGCTCTTTTAAAATTATTCTATTATTAAATTCTTAAATACTTCGTACTACACCAAATACACAGATTGTGAATCGGTTTTTAGATTTTATTCAATATTTTCTTAATTATGTTGGTCAAAGGCAAAGCTCGCGTAGGAAAACTTCAGACGAGTTTAATTACTTGAGGGAGTATTCTAGCCTAGAGGTTCTACGTTTCTTTTTATCAAAAGAAAGTGTAAGTTTCTTAATTTCGACATTTTGCATAGATATTTATTTATGTTTTATGAATGTTCATTTTGTTCAAATAAAACTAATCAAAACTGCTTTAAGTTTTGAATATCGATTTTCTCGACTTTCTTTCATGTTTAGCGAGCTGAAAAAACAATAAAGAAAATTCTTCTTTTTTTTATTTTCGTTCACAGACGATAAAACGAGTAGTAGGTTTAAAAAACGATGAATATTATTTGTATAAATGAAAAGTACAATGTTTCGAATATGTTCCGAAAACAATGTCGAAATTAAGACTGAAACGACGAAGTTACAGTCCGTTTAGTGAAACCTGTTAGAGTTGAAAACAGCAAGTGGTTGAAGCTGTGCACCAATTTTGGCACAAACCTGCTTTTTCCAAACATGTGCAAGATCATCTGTTACCTATTTACAAAAACCTGTTTAAAGTCGATGTGTTAGAAAAGTGGATGGATACCCACAGAATGTCAACGAAAGCTTTGTCTTTGTCTCCACTGCGGTTTAGAAACTTGAAATTGCCTTTTATCTGGCCGCCATATCAAAAATAGTGGAAACGGCGGATATCGTGATTGGAAAGCAATATAGAGAAGCAGTGATAGCTTGTAGCTAGGTTTTTTTATTAATTTATTTTAAATTTGAATTTGTGTCTATGCAGTAAAAAGTGCTCGCTTCGAAATAAGAAATCTCGTAAAGTATTGACAAAACTGGACATCGATCGATTACTGTTTCCAAACTAGACTTTTCATCACATGGAAAAAAATATTAAATATATTTTAATATTGTACAAAATATTATACAAAAAAATGTCACTCCACATTTTCGATTTATTTTTTCATGTAGATTCACCCCCCTTCCGCTTGAACCATCAGATCGGTAACACCCTGTATATGGTAACAACAGCGTGAATTGTATCCTTTTCTTGAACCGATGCATTAGCCGATTGGTTTTACTAGCGCAATGTAGAACTATAGCATGACTTCAATTTTTCTGTTAAAAGGAACACGACTGTACGTATTTAACATCGTTTCTATAAAGGTACAAAAGGAGATCGTGAAACAACGGGTAAAAGTGCAAAAAGTTTTTGCTCTTTCATCGTAACACATTTATATCTCAAAGACAAACTATGTTGGATTCAAATATTTTAACTTTAGAATAAAAATGTTGCATTACTTAACTAATATTATATTTTCCATTGCTTTTTAAAATATTAAATTTTCAATCGTGATTAAATTATCGTAGTTCGCCTCAGAGGTAGAGATATGGAGTTCATTCGTTAAAAGCATACCTTGAGTGAAAAGATTAACGTGCAAAAAGTATAAATTATTTTTCATTTTTTCAGAGAATATTGGAACCTATCATTTTCAATGCTGTACGTAACATTTTCTCTTTATCATAGTATAGGAAAAAAACAAGATAAGGTAAATAAATTGCAATTGCACGGGAATATAAGGTTGTAGTTAAAAAAGAAGAGATTACGGATTTCTACTGTATCGAATCATCAAATTTTCTATATTCTTCATTTTCATAGACCACCCTATGTGCACAACCATTTCAAGGATTTAAATTCCAGTACGATTTGTTACATCGATTTTATGAAATTCTATTTCAGTCCTGTTACTGGTAGAAACTGGCTGGTTATGCGCAGGTGTGACGTGGTTAGCACACTACTACCAAACTTGTCCCGTCGACCAAGTCAGAGATGTAATGTTAGGTAAGTCCAATAACACAGGGAAAATTACAAATAATCCTTTCCTATTTAGTTTTTTTATTTTATCGATATCAATACTTGTGAATTAAGTTTATGAAAAGTACTGCGGTCTATCGCTTAACACTAGAACTACCAAAGCAGTCAAAATGACGCATTCGTAATTTCTAATAAAACTTATAAAAAATTTACTCGACTGAATTTTTGAAAATTTACCATAATTTTCTATAAGAGAATGAATAAAGACTTATTTCCATCGGATTATACATTTCTTCGCGTATCTATCGCTTCAACTTTTTTGGTACAGATAAATACACTATAATTATCGGTAGTTCTAGTGTTAAATACGCTTTTGTTGTCTCAAAAAAGATATTTTTCTTGCAATACTGGTTATAAACTCTCAATCTAAGAAGGATATAATTGAATTAAAAGTTGCACACAATTTTGACGAAGTTAACATCTATTACTAGAACGTTTATAAACCATAGTGTTTTTCATATACTCTACAACTAAGTATACTATAAAACTAAATAGGGCAACTAAATATAACTATAGCCTAATACATCTAAACAGTACAACTACATATAACTATAGCCTAATTAATATTAAGTTAATCAAAGTGTAATAATATTTTCAAGCTTGGTATTACTTTTGCATAGCCTACTATGAATTATCATATTTTATATGATGTCCTATGTCACTTTTTAAATAATTATTGTTAAAGCTTAAAAATGCACACCTGTCTTTGGCGTGTTACAAAAGTACGAAGAGAAACTTAAATTAGCCAATCGAATCGCTTCTTCGTTCGCTGGACACGTTTTTAGGAGTGTCCCGCACACCTAATAAACATTTCGCGTAAAAGGTTCATTATTTTTTCAATTTACGTACGAATAAGAAAATCTCATTTCAGCTGACTTTTTATGGGAATAGTAAATCTTACGTTATGTAGATTTCGTACAAATAAAATTCCTGTTTCGAAGTAAATCACTGTGCGAAACGTCGTAAGAGACAAGATTTAAGGCCAGATTTCTTATTACTTCTCACGACTATACAGGGTGTTCGGTCACCTCAGGGAAAAATTTTAATGGGAGATTCTAGAGAGCAAAATAAGACGAAAATCAAGAATAACTATCTGTTGATCGAGGCTTTGTTAAAAAGTTATTAACGTTTAAAGTTCCGCTTGTAGGACGGCTATCTGCGATTAGCTGCGTACGCGTGATAGTGGCTCTCACTCACAAAACTGTAAGGCTGTCGATACGTCAGTAAGCAGAGTTTCTCATGCCTACTGAGAACCACTATCGCAAGCACGCAGCTGTTCGCAGATTGCCGTTTTACACGCGCAACTTTAAACGTTAATAACTTTTTAACGAAGCCTCAATCAACAAATAGTTATTCTTGATTTTCGTCATATTTTGCCCTCTAGAATCCCCCATTAAAATTTTTCCCTGAGGTGGCCGAACACTCTGTATTTTCGCGTGGTTGATCTTTATTTGAACTGCTATATGTATAACCGTCGGCGAGCAACGCTCCTTCCGCAATCAGAACGGTTCGATTTTAGTCGAGCATGCACCGTAGGTTTAGTGGTATCGAATTGGTGCGTATTGGCGTCCGTGATGGTGACAGTATGGTGCACGTACGACGCCGCTGGCAGATCGTGGGTAAAAATGAAGAAATATCAACGCAGTATGAGGGAAGCGGAGTCAAGATGCGGTAAATTGCATTACAACCGGAGCGGCAGCAGAAACAGAAACTGGCGACAAAGGTAATAGCTTGTGATCCTTGTTTTGGGTTCGACGTCTGACTTATTACTTTTCACCTCTACTGAGACCTTTACTACTCGACGTTCTCTTACTGCGGTCGCTCGTAAAAGTCTGCGCACGCTCTACTAATTTGCAATTTTCTAACGTATACGAACATCGAGAATTATTTAAAATTTTCTAGATATTTTCACAAGGACATTTAAATTCTCACGCATATTTATCTCTAATATCAATAGATTCGTCTGGTCGTGAACTCTTATTGTACCACCTTGGACTTTTTTACGAGCACATTATTCAAAAACATCATTAAAATTATCTTTATATCTTATTTTGATTATCATGTTTTAGTACTTTGTACACTAATAGAACTTCCTGTTATTGAATAAATAAATTACTAGGACTCTTACATTTTCTGGTTACAGCCAGTTGCAAAAGTTTGATCTTAGTCTAGTAGTTTGAATTTGTATACAGAATACGAATGTCGAGAAGGTATTATATAAAATTTCCTATGAATTAAATTGTTCCTCTGTTAAGAATAAAAAATAGTTTAAAGTCACTACCAGCACCCTTACCAGGACCATTTAATTGTAATTTGCATTTTTATAAAGAATATGAATATCTAGAATTATTTTAAATTTCCCGAGGATTAAATTACTCGTCTATTGATAATTGTTAGAGTTAAACAATTTGTATGCTCCCACGAGAACATTTGAATTCTCACATACATTTATCTCTGATGTCAACAGATTCAGTTTTAAATCGTCTTCGTCTGGTCGTGAACTCTTATTGTACCACCTTGGACTTTTTTACGGACACATCATTCAAAAACTGTGTATTTAATCTTATTTAACATTTCATTCTTACGTTGTTTACCTAATTCGCATTAAAATTGCCTTTGTAACCTTATTTTGATTATCATGTTTTACTACTTTGTACACTAATGGAGCTTCCCGTTATTGAATACATAAAATAAAATAATAAAAAACATTTTGAAACCATTACTAGGACTCTTACATTTTCTCGCTAAAGCCAGTTGCAAAAGTTTGTTCTTGGTCTAGTAGTTTGAATTTTTATACAGAATACGAATATCTAGAATAAGAATAAAAAATAGTTTAAAGTCAGTACCAGGACCCTTACATTTAATTATAATTTGCATATTTATAGAGAATACGAACATCGAGAATTATTTAAAATTTTCTAGGCATGAAATTGTTCGTCTGTTGATAATAAAAAATAGTTTAAAATCACTACTAGAACCCTTACATTTGATTGCAATTCGCATTTTTATACAGAATACGAATTTCAAGAAAATATTTGAAATTTCCAACATATTAAATTGTCTATCGGTTAATAATAAGAAATATTTTGAAACACACAATATTTTTCAAACTCGTTCACAAGAGTAAATGCTTACAGAATACAATGTTAGAAAAATGTAAATATAAATATCGCAAGTAAGATTACAAATTAGTAAAATAATATTACTTATCGCGTGTGTTTTCAACGTTACCGTGACATCACGTCCAGAACAATAATTCATTCGGTACGCTATAAAATCTAATTTTGAGGATTTTAATGTAATATTCGTCCACGTGGCTAGCAGATTTACTTTAGGTAATAGAATACGCGTGTTACTTAAAACAATACCAAGTCAGACAATCATACCTTGATATATCATTAAGAATATACATTTCTCATCACTTTTATTTGCTAGTAATGTATCCTCTGTATTTCTTAAAAGAATAATAATAATAATTAGTACAAGAATATCTCTAAGTTGTCTAATACTTTTTTGTAGGTGCCCATGAGCTCTACTTCAGAAAAAAATTTCAACCAGATACGTTCACTATTGTAGGAGTTATGGCCGTTTGAAAATTGGACTATATTCTTCGCCAAAATACGCGTTGTTTGCCGTTTGAAACATTAAAAACCCCCATTCGCATGAAATTTCGGGGGTGCATTTCTGGCCTCATATTAGATTCTCGGTTAGAAATTTTAACGAAAAATTTCAACACCTACCCGATTTTTTTTCTCGAAAGTGGATAGGATTTTGGAGGTATGTGTATTCACCAAAAATGATTATAATTGACCCCCGCAACCGAAAATAATTTTTCCAGAATGATTGGAAATTTTTGAATTTAATTGTTAATAACTTTTTAACGAAGGCCCCATCAACAAATTTGTATTCTTGATTGTCGTCTTATTTTGGCCTCTGGAATCCCTCATTAAAATTTTTCTCAAGGGTGGCCGAACACCCTGTATATACTGTAAATGTAAATAAGAAACTAATGTCTGCTCTGTTTTGGTAACTCATACCTTTGTATAAATCTAGCCTCTAAAGTATAAAGGAGGTCAGCCGAATATATTTTCATTAGAGTATGTAGATAAAAAATATAGTCCATTTAAGTCAGAAAGTTTTTATAAAGAAGATATTATGCGGCTCGTAGGAAGATAAAAAACTAACGTACGCGAAATGGTCCATTTATATCGATTACCGAAGTATTTCCATTGTTTTTGATGATAGATTATCAAAGAAAAGCTGTTAAGCGGTGAATTTTTCATTCTACGCGACGAACACTTTCGCCATTACATTTTTCGTGCTTCAAAATTCACTTTAGTTTTTAGACAAAATGAAATCCACGTTGTATTTACCGCGAATAAAAATGATATATCGAGATGGAGATCGTACGTTATATCACACCAAACGTTATATTATATATATTTATTGGAATATTTGGAAATAAAACGTTCTGAAAGCTGTGCTTGACACTGGAAGGCCACATACCTGCAGGCTACGCGTTTTCTGTTTCCCAGTGGAGCATTTTATAACGCGGAAAATTCGTCAAATTTTCAATGTGATTTATTTATAAATTTTTCAATAAAATCGTACTATCTACTCCATCCTCGAATTATTATTAGCATTCCTTTGTCGTTCGTTAAAAAAAGATACTTTTAGAAATTGTGAGAACAATTGCATTTAAATATATTTACCAACTCTTTCTCTTGGACATTTTCCTCACTGTAACAAACAACAGAGATATTTGGTATTATCAAAAATAAATGGACCCGCCGTGTGCATAAAAATGGAATTTTTACAGCGTTTCTCAAACTGATGTTTATGGACCCATGCATTTTTGTTTGAAAATAGGAAACATGGTTTCTGGTATGTTTTATTCTTATTAGAGGGATCTTCTGGCTTCTATCTAATGGATTATTCATGAATTTTTTGTTCGTACACAATTCATGATACCTGTTTCAAAATTTTCGTACGTAGCTACGTACATTTTAGAAACTAATTTTTCTCATAAATAAATAATTACTTATTGAAGTGGCATTATTTACAATTTTATAAATATTACGATAGCAAATGATTTGCAACTTGCAAGTTTAAGTTAAACGTACTTTTATATTTGATTCTTACTTTTAAATATTGCAAAACTTGTAGAAAAAAGATAGTTTATTCACGTCATAAAGATCTGTTGACAATTTCAATTCGCTAGAAATTACTATAAGATTTATTTGTAGCATTAACACAATCTTTGTTGTTTAAAAAGATGTGCCAAATAAACGTTAGTCTCTACTAAATATGATATGATATGAAAATCGATGGGAACACATTTACACACAATATCTTTTCATCCCTAGTATTCGATTTATTTTTCACAATAATCCACAGATCCTTTTCATCAACATAAAATTACTTAGAATAGGTTTATAGTAGATTTATTTTTCAGTTGTGAAAGCAGCACAGAAAGAAGTCGAGCGAAAAATACAACGATCGTAGATTTCATTATAACAGTATGCAATAACGTTGCTTTGCAACCTTATCAGACTCTTTGATCATTCAAAGCTCTCCTTCGACTGTAATAAAAACAATAATGCCCCTTAATTCATATTTTCTGTCGTTTTCGTGATAAAATCTCAATAATTCTATAATTGCCGCTTATAAATCTCCTTAACCTGAAGTCCACGTTAATCATATTTCTTGAACATTATTACAAGTAGCTGTTTCAAGCATTTTCTCAAACATGAAAGAATTATGTGTGAAGTACGTGTTATGATTATTTCATAATAAGTGAGCAACGACAGGTATATAATATTTTTCGTTTAATCAATGTTTCGTTTGCTTGGGTGAGCAACTCCCTTTAACAAATAAATTTTAATAATATGCATAATTTTTACATATACTCGACATAGTCGTGGAAACGTCGATAGGATATGTCTATTATCGCAGAAGGAAATAATTTTCATTTATTAGGTGTACAAGTGAATAATCCAAATTATCTTAAGCAATTATAAAATCAAGTTTAAAGTCAATAGATTTTCCCGCTCTTTTGCGGACATATAGTGTTGACATATAGCTAGTTAAAACAAAAGATAGTTTAGCGAAAGGCCCAACATAAGCTTCAAAAGTATACAATTCAGTAGAGTCGAAAATGGCAACAGATAAGGTGCATATCCGACACTGCATTCTTTACGAATTCCAACAAGGGAAAAATGCTGCAAGAGCACGCGAATCGATTGGTTCCTTTCTTGGTGAAGATGTTGTATCATATGATGTGTGCGCATTTTGGTTTAAGCGGTTTAAAAGCGGTGATTTGAGTCTAATTGACAAACGCCCTGGAGGCCCTCGAAAGTGCGACAACGATGATTTGGAACAACTGCTCGCTGAGAATGCGGCACAAACGCAAAACGAACTTGCAGAACAGTTAGGAGTAATCTATCAAACGATTTCCAAACGCCTACGTGAGATGGGAAAGATCCAGAAAGAAGGAAGATGAGTTCCGCATAAACTCACTGCAACCAACAAAAATCAACGAGTGGCAGCGTGTCTTTCTCTTCTCAATAAGCAGCGTCAAAAGACTTTTTTGTGGAAAATCGTTACGGACGATGAGAAGTAGATACTCTATGACAATCCGAAACGCAGAAAGTCATGAGTAAATCCCGGCGAAGTGTCAACATCGGTTGCAAAACCCAATCGCTTCGGAAAGAAGGTTCTTCTCTGCATTTGGTGGGATATCAAGGGCGTGGTTTATTAGGAGTTGTTGGAATCGGGCGAAACAGTTATTGCGGACTGCTACCAACGTCAATTAATCTGCTTGAGTCAAGCATTGGAATGAAAACGTCCGTATACTAGCAAAGGAGAACGTCCAGTGAAATTGTTGCATGACAACGCCAGACCACATATTGCTTCCCATACAAAAGACACCATATTAAGTCTTGGCTGGGACACCTTGCAGCACCCGGCGTATTCACCAGACATTGCTCCATCTGATTATCACCTGTTCCGGTCGATGCAACACGCCTTATTCGATATGCACTTCCAATCAGTGGATGAGACCCGAAAATGGCCTGACGAATTTATCGGGTCCAAAAACGTAAAATTTTTCCGAAATGGAATTCATCAGCTGCCTGAAAGATGGCTTACAGTTATAGAAAGTAACAGCGAATACTTTGATTGAACAATTCAATTTACTTTCTTTTAAAATAAACATTGAATCTGGCTGAAAAAATTGGATTATTCATTTGTACACCTAATATTACTTTACGTAAGTTTTAAACGTTTCTAAAATGTAGTACTTTATTACAAATAAAAAATAAACACTTTTCCACACTTATACACATCTACACAATACATATATTGATTTACATATTATACAACTCTGAAGTATTATGGACTCCTCACCTTTAATAGTTTCTTTTACATTACAATTTTGATTTCAAGAACTACAGTACAATTTCAATATTTTTACTACAGAAATTAAATAAATTTTAACGGTTTACTTCGATGTCGTGGGCTTTCTCCTCTTCCTAATTACTTTAAAATCAAATTCTTTAAGAGCTTTTCGTGCTTTCCATTTGCTGCAACATAGTTTACATAGTACATTTACATAATTTTCAGATAATCTTCCACTTCTGTTGTGTTCACTTATTTTCTAACGGGTGAATCTCCTACTTTTTCTCAGTCACATTACGAATCGAAATTCTTCCCTTCAGCAAGAAAATTATTCTCTTTCGAATACAATTTGTAATCGATTTTACAAATGCTTAAATTATAATGTATTCCCTCACATTTTATCAGAAACTCTTACTACTATACTTTTACGTGATATGAAATTATAATAATGTAGGATTTATATAAATGATGCTTATTTATTAGTGCTTATGGCTAGGAACTAATTTAAAAGAAACTATTCGCTTAATACAACTTACAACGACTTGCTACGGCAACTTTTATTAACTTAATCTATCTTTTCCGGCCGAAACGTCCCCTTTTAAAGTTTTCTCCCGCCTCACCACTCAAGCTTCTTTGGGCGCGTACATGACCAAATATGGTCATGTTGGCCTTCGCCTTGCGTTTCGCACCCCCCTGTTCGAGAGGACCTCGACCGCGTCACTGGGCCCGCTGAACCATGGGTTTTTCCCATCCCTTGGGCCTACCAGTTGCTTTTCTTTATACTGTTCTCACTCCGCGCAAGTTCCTTATGTTTTCGATACCACAATAATGTCCAGTGAAACAAATACATCTACGCTAAAACGAATCGCGAAGTTGCAAATAGAATAAAATAAAACTATTAACAAACGTTTCTCTTGTAAATGAATCATGCAGAAAAATTTGTTAGGAAAACGTTCGTGTTTGCCTTGCACTGGATATGTTTTCAAAATCTTGACCAATTAGCCTCGTAAACCAGTATACGATAACGAATGCTTTACAGCTAAAGAGAGATTAAATTTCGCTCGTGCGAAAAAATTTATTCGATCTCGTAACTTCCACACGCGCGAACGAAGCATAGAACTACGTGGTATAACTCCAATTCGAGGGCATTGCGCTACATTTTGTCGGGATTGTGTTTGGTTCATTCTAAACAATTCTAAACAACTCATTATTATTTCAACACATTTATTTCTATTTTAACAATGAACGTACATAGGTATTTTTACACGTGTTCCCGCACAACGCCATTACACCCTACTGACCACTCTACCACGGGATTCCCCCTCGTATCTCCGTTCCAACGCTACCAACCACAATCAGTAAAAATAACTACACACATTTTTCGTACTAACTTCGGTCACGATCTTGTGAACGAACGTTTGGCAGCCTTCTCTGCCAGTTGCACAGCCTCCGCCAGTTACTTCCTTACACAATGACGTTTCTCGCCTATACATGATGACAGCTGGCTGACGTATTCTCTCTGCTATTGTTATCTACCGACTCCGACACTAATTCCGGTGCTTCAGATATCTCCAACTCTACCAGCAGTATTGTATCGTACCGGGGTTGATAACTTATCAGTAGACTGCGGATCTTTATGCAAATTCATATTTTTATTAACAGAATTATTAAAATGGGAACTTTGTAGAGGGTTGTCTGAACCCCTAAATATAATAATTCGTATCTTACTTTAAGTGTTTCTTGTATTTTTTGCATATTGAGTGCATTTTGTAGTTCCTTGAGAATTAAAATTTCCCATAAATGCATAAACATTCGCAGTCTAGTTGTCAGTCGCGCATATATTTTAACGAAACTCGAAATTCCTTTTGCAGCTTACACACACGGTTTTTGACCGATTCTGTTAATTTGACTAATCGGTATTCTTCATTTGTTCATTCTGCTATTTACATTTCGACAAGATATTACCGTCATCTAATTTCTCGAAACTTCCTTTCAGTATGGAACTTTGTTTTATTTTTATAGAAATGATACATCCTATATAGCACGTCTTGGTTCTACAAGACTAATTACTAGTTCTGACTTGCTCGAGTAAAGATTTAAACTTTTTTACGAGACCAAAACTTTGATTTTACACGATTGTAAACTACTTGAAATTTGTCGTAGTATTTATTCTTGTAACTTCACTCACATTCACGAATCCTACCGAAATTTATTTTCTTCGACATCTCAACTCGAGAATTCATTTTGTTAAACAGGGACGTATTTAATTTGAATTAGACCAATTAAGAATATAAAACCACACTTTACTAATAAAATATTAAATGTTTATTTGGAATATATTTATTTAAGTAAACATGTGAGTAAATATTACATGATGCGAAATAGGACAGATTTGGTTATAACATAAGAGAGAAGGGAAAATAAAAAGAAATACATATGCAGAGTCGTCTATGCAACTTGTGCGCCTCAATAACTTCCACAGCATTGCTCAAAAAAATTTCGTATAAAAAAAATTGCATGGTTTCAAGTGGTACACTATGTAGTGCATTTGTCTTTTTCATAGGTGAAGGTCTTTCTGAGATTTGAAGGTCAACTTGGTTTTTTTTAATTGGAATAATATACTTTTTATACCAAAATATGCAACAATATTATATTCTGGGTAAAAAAGTGTTGATCTGAATTAGCCCTAAACCTAATAACTAATGGGTAATTTCACTTTATTTCTTGAAAATAATTTTTCCAGAACGATTTGAAATTTTTTTTTTTCGCTGAAAACTTGTCGATTTTTTTTTTAAATTCGTTTTTCATTTTTAATAAATTTCTTTGACTCCCTACTGAAAAGTTGTGTAATACTTTTTTGTATGAACCTATGAACTCTACTTCAGAAAAAAATTTCATTGAAATATATTCAGTATTGTAGTGGTCGTTTAAAGATTGGACCATTTTTATGGGGTTTTTCTCATTTTGAGGGGTCAAGGATCAACTTTTCGAATATTTTTGCGATTTCTACATATTCTTCACCTAAATACGCGTTGTTTGCACTTTGAAACATTAAAATCGTCCAATCCGTTCAGGAGTTATGACATTTTAAAGATTTGCATAAAATTATGGGGAACCTTTTCAGTTCTCAGATTATATTTTCGGTAAGGAATTTTTTCATCGAAAATGGTTAGAATTTCGAGGATATGTCTATTCATCAAAGATGATTGTATTTGACCCCTCTAGCTAACACTAATTTTTTTAAAACGATTTGAAATTGTTTAATTTTTTCGAAAAATTTGTCCAGGTTCCTGAATTTTTTTCCCCGAAGATGCGCAGGATTTCGGGGGTACGTCTATTCACCAAAAATGCTTGTAATTGACTTGTGTAACTAAATATAATTTTTTTGGTATGATTTGAAATTTTTTATTTTCGTGTAAAAATTTCAATATCTATTAGAATTTTTTTCTCGAAAGCGGGTAGGATTTCGGGGATATGTGTATTCACCAAGAATGATTGTAATTAAGCCCCACAACCAAAAATAATTTTTTCAGAATGATTTGAAATTTTTTGATAATTTTTTAACGAAGCCTCAGTCAAGAAATTGATATTCTTGATTTTCGTCTTATTTTGGCCTCTAGAATCTCCCATTAAAATTTTTCCCAGGGATGGCCGAACACCCTGTATATTAGTAAATTTTTGTTAGTTTCATAATAAAAAATTCAGTCACCCATACATGGATGACGTGGCAGTCAAAGTGTTAAAGCGTTTGACTTCAACTCTACTATTACTACACAGTATCGAATCAAAGTATCAGCACAGACTAATTTTTCATAATACAATCGTATGTAACTCGGAAACGAAAAACGAAATTTTATTATATCTTGTTTGAAAATAATAAAATAAGCCTCCAAATTATATGTACATGTAAAACACTTGGAAATCGAACGATTTTAAAACCAGTAATCATAGTGAATAAAAGTAACCAAAAATCGGTTTAATATCGAGCGCATTAAAAAGTATTTTTCTACAAATAACGCAAAAAAGATATTGCAAAGAAGCACCGCGTTAGAAATTCTGCACTAAATTCATCTTAGTCCAGAGTGTACGTAGCAAAGTTTGAGAAGCGTTGGTCGAGCACATTAATTTTCGTCGTCTTGCACGATCACTGTTAAAGCAATTAAAACTTGGTGGTTGCAGAAAAGTGATACGCGCGTACCAGGACAGCTGGGACAACAGGTGTAGACTGCTGTTTTGCTGCATGGGCAATTCCGATAGAAGCCGAGTAAGTGTCGCCTTTCGCGAGAACGCGAAACCCATCTGGCGTTTCCAATAAATGTGGCACGTTTTCCAGAACTCGTTCGCGGACATCGCCAGGCTGTTGAGCGACTTCTTCCGCGACCTTGACGTGGTGCCATCGGATGTGGTGGCCGGGCTGGTGCTCCTTAGGAAGTTCCAGAAGGTCGAGAGAGAATTGATAGTGAAACAGCGGAAAAACGATACGTACGAGTTTCTGTCGGGCGTGCCAGTTACTCCTCGCACCAAATTCCTGTCCTTGACCGAGGACGGTGATCTGGGCCACTTTCAGTTGGCCATTTATTATATGCACTTCGCCCTGGCAGCATACGGCTGGCCCATGTTCCTCTATAGTCATTCCACCGGTCTCTGTCAGTTGTGTGCAAGGTAATATCGTCCGGTAGCGTGGCGCCGTACGTTATCACGTCGTGAGCGATGCGATCGATTGATTTTCAGCAGTGTTTCAACGTCCATTTATTAACCAAACGGTCGCTGCTTGACGTTTAACCGCGTGAAATTAATGGTTCGGCGACGACATAAATCGGATTAATCGTACATTGTACGGTTCTTTTTATTTTTAATAATATTAGACCGCTGGGATATCTCTTCGCGTGTTTAATATGAACTTTTTTATTAACCGGGTATCTGGAATAAAATTCGATCAGTTAGCCGGAGATTAGTCTATTTAAAATCTTCAAGGAGGGTATTCTAAAGTTTTATTTTGTTGGACTTTTCAGAGATTCTTTTACAAAAAAAGTATAGGTTTCTTAACTTCGACATTTTGCGTACATATTTATTTATGTTTTAAGAAGGTTCATAATTTTTTTTGAGTAAAAATGATTAAAACTGACTGAGTTACGTGTCACTGAACAAAGTTCCTTTAAAAAAAAGTTTCGTCTACTGATTAACACGATTCCGATAATTCTGCTTATCTGAAATGAAATATCAAAAAGGTTATTGATTAGTATTATTGTGAATATGAACCAAAAGAAAAAAAAAACAGTGATAACTTACAAAATGGCGGCACCGTGAGTGTTGAATATCGATTTTGTTGACTTTTTCTCATGTTTAAGAAAACTATGTTCATAGCTGCATATGTAATATTTTATTTCAATGTATCAAAAATTCTAAAACAAGTAACTAATTACTCTGCTTACCTTAACTCCTAATCTACTACTCGCCGAGTACACATCATTATTACGTTTTTACAAATATCGCAAAGAAACTTGCAATTTCCTCGAACTTTTCTTCGCGAATGATTTCTCTAAACTGAACTCGAACGTACAAGCTTAATCACTTACATCACTTACTATTGTGCGTTTAGGAAACACAGTTTAGCTCTATAGAAAACATCGACTGAGAGTTTCGACGAGTCCGCTGTTTCCTTCATGTCGAAGTTTGATTACTTTGTTACAATTTTCTTATCTTCTACTATGTAAAAACATAAAGAACGTGCTCTTATCATAGCAGAAAATAATTATGGTAAAAAACGTGCAAAATTTTCAAAATTATATTACGCTGGGGAAAAAGAAATCATTTTCGCGTTTATTTCAAGACTTTATTTAACATGGTTCGGATTGTCCAACTTGGGTCAAATATGTACCGTTTTGTTTTATAATCCGTTGCCATTCGATTTCGTTCCGTTTGGCTAAGGCCTTGCAGATGGAAATTCGATCCATCGGCAATTCGCGTGGCACCCAAATATCGAGCTTCTTTTTGAATCCAGCATTATGCAAATGGTTTACAACTGTTTTGTGGCCCATCTTTAGCTCCTGGGCGATGCTACGACTGCTAACATGTCGGTCTACCTCCATCGTTTCCAAGATTTTATCGACATTTTCGACGACGATCCTACCTGTGCAAGGTGTAATTGCGCGTAATTGGCTGTCACAGTATCGGGACCATAGACACCATTCGAATTTTCTGTTTGTTAACTTCCATCTTTTACACCCTACAACTCGCAACTGGATCGACCAACCAAAAAACTGTAAAAGAATTTTCTTTAGTACAGAATGTCACTCATCTTCGTAAAGTCTCAATTTGTTTGGTCAATACTTTACGAGATAAATATCACTACAACCATCTAAATGGAAAATAACGGATTTTCCCCAACCTAATATTTCGGTTTTATCGAGGTATCGTTCTAGAAGGCTTGAAGAAGGTCATTATTAAGGTTTCTTTTTATGACACACTAAGCAAAATAACAATCTCTGGTTTCGCTATTTTATTCTGCATCCTTTAAAAATATAAAAAATTGTAAAACTTTTTGTTTTATACAAATATTTACAGTGAAAAAGACGCGTTTCTTAGCAGTTCCCGAGAAATTTTCTTTGAACGGGATCTTGTAGCTCCTCGACAATTAATGTAAAACAAACGAATCACATATATTCTTACACTGCATGGAATTTCCGAAGTAGTGAACCTTCAAAAGTGGAAAAAATAATTTCTTTTTATTATTTTCTGGCACTTTAATTTCGACGACGTGATAGCCAAATTGTCAAAAGGGTATTCTTCTGTAAATCTTTCAAATATCTACTCTTTTTTTTACATTTTCTTGAACAAAGTAACGAGCTATAATAAGACCCAGCAACTACAATGCTGGGCATAAGTATTGGCACAGCATGGTTTGCGGTGGTACAAATGCTTATATTATATTGTTAACTAACTTATATTAACTAACCTATTATATTGTTAAACAAATTGATTTGAAGGAAAAACTTTTTGACATATTCATTTATTATCTTAGTTTATTACATAACAAAAGCAATAATATATATACATTGATTCACAAAACAATAACAAAAATGTATTTATTAAACATTTTATGGGTGGACGAAACTATTGGCACACTCGAATGAAAACATTTAAAAATGATTTGGAATTAAATATTAATATTAAGTTGGTCCTTCTTTCCTTTTAAGGACTTCTTTTAATCATTTGGGCATTGAATCGACTAACTTTTTTGTAAATCTCGATTTTGTTCCATTTTTCTAAAAGAACATTCTTCGAGTCAGCTTCGTTTGTTATATGATGTTTTCTAATTCTTTTTTCGAATTTGTTCCAAACATGTTCGATTAATGTCTGGACTCTAGGGTGGTGTATTTAGGGAATGAGAAATATTATAAATGATTCAATGGCGTACGATGTAAGCTGCAGTGCTTTGGATCGCAATCTTGTTAGAAATAGAAATTCTGTGTAAGGTTTAATTTTTCCGTACTTTTGAATAAATTTTGTTTTAATATTTTCAAATATGTGTATTTGTCCATAATACTATCTGTAAAAATTAATTCGCCATCCCCAGACACTGCCATAGTGTGGGAATTTGGGGATTCAAATGAGCAAAACTCGACTTCCTCTCAGCAACGCACATTTAATGAGTACGAGGTTTCGATACAGACAAAAGACACGCGTCACAAAAGTAGTAAGTCAGAAGAACTCTAGGTGGCGCAGAAACAAATGGTGCTTTATTTCTAACACATAGAACCCCATACCATAACTCCACAACCTCCATATTTTACTCTCGATTGTAAATTTCGTAGGTCCAGTTCAGAATTTGCTTTCATCTGAAAACTGTTCCACCAAAATGTAGAATCCTTCGTTATAAATTCTTTGGCAAATTCAACCCTCATCTTTCGATTTTTTCCCGATATGTATGGTTTTCTTCGTGCAACACGCACAGAATATCCGGCAGTTTTTAATACACTCCGCACAGTTTTCTAACTTGCTTCTTTTTGACACTCTTTATTTAATATCATTCTGAGTTCTGAGGAGCTTAATTTAGGATTTTTCTTCACTTCGTTTACAATTTTACGTTTTTCTCGCCATTAAAATATGATTGATTTATAAATCGTTTTACAATGCTTCTAATAGTAAAACCTGCATTTCAACTGTTGTTAACCGTTGATGATAACTATACTAATACAAATATTCAAATTATTCGCTTCATTCTGGATTAAAAAATTTTTCTTTCAAGCGCCTGTAAGACTGTTTCGACATTCCTCCCAGAAATCACGCCGCTACTCGGAGAAACACTGCTGGAATTTGTCAAATCGTTTGGAAGAACAGAGAATAATAACGTTAAAATTTTTGTCGCCAGATTACGATGCGGCTGTTTCCCGTGTCGCGGCCACGAAGATGGTGCGACAGTGGTGGAGGACAATTGTTGCCAGTGCAATTACGCCGCTCTGAGAAAGATGATCGACGTTGCCGAGGTGGACGTCATTTACGCCACTTTCCACGTCGACGTCGGTGAGACGCCGTTCTTCGTCGTGCTCGATTACACAAAGAAAAAGGTTTCGCGCGTTCCTTATTGATTCGCATGCACTGATAGTATTAGTTTTACGCTAGACTCGCAGAAAATAATTAATTAAGTTCGATTTCCGATCGCCACGATGCGACGGAGATTAAAGCAAACGGGGTCGCGTGCCGTGTCGCGTAGCCGCGTTGCGTTTCGCGATTAATTAAGAGCTAAATGGATCTCGTTGAGCTGGCTACTCGATGAATTTTTCAACGACCATTTAACGCGTCATCGCGGTGTAACGTGTACCACGATTGCTCAATGGCGAGATCGCGAAGATTTTCGTGTGCCAAAATTTCAGTTGGCCCGGACAAGCAGAAGACTCGATCGATAAATAATTCACCTGCCACTTCTTTCCTCTGGACCGTCGGTTGAAGCTAACTTTTGGCAACCGCGTTTCATTGAATAACAGCGCGATAAACGTTTCCTGTTATTCGACTTCTTACATTTAGTCGGGTTTAACGGAGGCAAATTTTGAAAAAAGTTTAATTTAATTTTAAATGTTTCGACTCTAGATCTTGTTACTTTCAGCTTAATGAAACATAAAATATTTAATGTAAAAATTTAAAGATATATTGGAAACTTAACTATCTAGTCCAAGAATATTAATATAAAAATTAATTATTTTTGTTATTCGACTTCTTGGTCGGTTTTAACTGAGGCAAATTTAAAAAAATGTTTAATTTAATTTTAAATGTTCCGACTCTAGATCTTGTTACTTTCAGCTTAATGAAACATAAAATATTTAATGTAAAAATTTAAAGATATATTGGAAACTTAACTATCTAGTCCAAGAATATAATACTATAAAAATATAAGGGATAATAGTAGTATAAGAACAAATTCTTTTAAGAAAAGAAAGAAAGAAGAAAATGGAGGAAAATGAATTCTTATCTATGCGATGTTACAACATTTTCGCTGTTAATTATCTATTTCAAGAATATAGAAATACTTTATACATTTTGTAGAAAACCAATTATTTAAGAATTCGCATCCTTTAACAATAATTTACAATGTTTAACTTCATTTCAGTCCCTAAATGAAATTTTAAGAGAAATTGAAAAATTGTACAGAAGAGAGTAAAACATTCTTTAACACTAAATCTACCATGGCCAGTCAAATGAACGTTTTTAAAATTTCGTTTAGAATTTCTAACGTACAAATTATTTTAGCGCCAGTTAACTTCACAGTTAACTTCACAGTGAATTTTCTCAATATTCACTTGTATTCTTATTGTTTGTTTTCTTAGAAAAATATATAGTCTGTCATCTGACCGGTTGAACGATTTATATTTTTTTGTAAAAAACTAGACAAAAGTTGGTATCAAATTCTGGTTAGCTTCTGATGTAAATAGGAAATATATAGCGAAGCCGAAAGGAGAGAATCTTCAGTTTCTACTGTCTTAGAACAGTCTAACAACGCATATTAAAAGTACTAAAACTTTAGACGTTTACAGTACCGAAACTACTAACTTTTTTTTCATACTTGAGGCGCAGTTAGAAGTGGCAACGCCTCCCCTTTAAAATGATTTTCGTTTTATGTCGATCCGACTTTTCGATTTTGAGATATCGTAATTTAAATGAAAAAGTAATTTTGAAAATTCGACTCTTCGTCTTACACAAGTCTATTAACTCGTATTGAAAATACAAAAACTTTCAAGATGTGCAATTCTGAAGCCACTCATACTTCTGCCTAAGTTACAAGCAGTAAAGCTTCCTCTTTAAAACAGTTTTTGGATTATGTCGATCCAACTTTCCGTTTTGGAAATATCGTAATTTATGTAAAGTAGTAATTTTTAAATTTGGACCAACGTGACCAAGAAGTCGTAGTATTTCCAAGAATTTATTACACACTGTTTACTATTTACACGGAGGTCAATGACCTCGCGACGTCAACAATGAAAAGTAAACAAACACTTAGAGCCCTTATATCTCCGGAACTAGCCACACTATCGACTTGAAAAAAAAATCGTAATATTTGCGGAACTAATTACGCTATCGACATGAATAGGCACTCGTTTTAAAGGGTATTTCATCCTCTATCCAATGAATATAACTACTGTTATAATTTATGTTGTCTTCTATATTTATTTTTATATTTACTTTGATGCTATATACCTAAAGAAGTTTCAGCAATTTCTATTGATTATACTAGTGTGCGATAAAACTAGATTACAAATGGTTAATTTAATTGAAAATGAATTTAAATTTGCATACAATGTCTACGTAATTGCTAGCCAGAATTTTTTCGGAAATAATTGTTTTCTCTGGAATTAACTACCGATATCGACTTGAAACGAAATTAACTGAAATAAAGTGATTGTTGCGTCTCAAGGCCAAAACTCAATATTTCGTAACTCTTCAGAATTCTTCCGAACAAGGCAGTTATTTCATTCATTTTGTCCACGTAATATAGTTTCACATCGTATCTCGTCGTATCACAAATATACAGTTTCCACGAAACTCCACAGTATTACAAATGTTATACTGGTTGTGGTGCTGACCATTAGGATATATTTACTTTTTACATGTTTTAAGTGTGTGGAAATTAGTTAGTTAGTGGTGAAGTTTTCAGGGACGTCGACTAGGTAAAAGCAGTATCGAGAAAAACGGCGTTAAAGTTGGATACTAGAACACACGACCGTTCTATCCTCTCAACCAGTTGTGTTTTCTGTAGCAAAGTTTGAAATTACAAACACCCCCTTGCTAAATGCAAAAAAAAAATACCAAAAACTAAACTTAGTCGCTCATTTGAAATATTTCCATGTGGGTACGTCGATTTTAGGCGATCTTAAAATTAAATAGTTATTATATAATTATAGATTAAAGGTTTTTAATTCTTTCTTATAAATATTTTTATTATTGCTCAAGTTGCTTCACATTTTTCGAAGTCCATCGTGTTGAATGGCTGCCATGATTCCTCAATAATAATTTGACCACTTCGTGAGTAACAGCAATTAAACATTGTAACACAACTTTTTAAAATCATTTGACCATACTGTTCGTCTAAAGCAAAACAAAATTAAATTATCAACAATGTTCAATGTATTACTTTAGATCGATTTTACATTTTCTAAAAAATTACTCAAAAATTAACGTGAACACAGTTGTGTATTTATTTAACCAAATTGACCTCGTCCTATCAGTTCATACGTAACAGGTAATATATCCTAGCTGGTCAGGATTGAATATACAGGGTGTCTCACCCGATTTTGACATCTTGATTTTCTCGCTATTGTTACTCGTAACAAAAAATGTTTCAGCGGAGGCTCGAATGGTATCGAGTGGAGCATATTCTGATGTTATTAGTTTTTTCGTGAGTGGACGCGTAAAGATCATATAAAGGTCAACTTTATTTTTTTTAAATGGAATGAGGTATTTTTTAATACATCAATCGATTCAGCTGGAGAATCGTTATAAAAAAGTACTATGTAACGTCGAAAAATTAGTAGTTCAGGGGATATTTCAATTTAAATAATTCTAAAACACCATTACTGTTGTACTAAGACGTTAGCGTTTATTTAGTAGTTACTATCCAAATAAAAACTAACTATTCTTATAATTAAATAGCTTTTTTTATAGCATAAGGCTATTTCATAAGAATTTCATTGTATTTCATTTTAAGATATCACTATAGTCAATTTTTACTATCCAATTAAAAACTAACTATTCTTATTATTAAATAACTTCTTTCTATACCACAAGTCTATTTCATAGGAATTTCATTGTATTTCATTTTAAGATATCACTGTAGTAAATTTTTACTATCCAATTAAAAACTAACTGTTCTTGTTATTAAATAACTTTTTTTATATAGTTTAAGTAATGACAAGTGATGTAAATGGTCGTTACGTTGAACTATTCCTGTAAATAAACGCTAACGTCTTAGTACAACAGTAATGGTGTTTTAGAATTATTTAAATTGAAAAATCTCCTGAACTACTAATTTTTCGACGTTACATAGTTAGTACTTTTTTATAACGATTGTTCAGCTGAATCGATCGACTAAAATACCTCGTTCCATTTAAAAAAACAAAGTTGACCTTTATATGACCTTTATGCGTCCACTCACGAAAAAACTAATAACATCAGAATATGCTCCACTCGATACCATTCGAGCCTCCGCTGAAACATTTTTTGTTACGAGTAACAATAGCGAGAAAATCAAGATGTCAAAATCGGGTGAGACACCCTGTACAGTAGACAACATCTTGCAATTTATAATGAAGGGAACGTGTTCTGCTTCGATTGTTATTAAAGACGGTCACTTGAGAAAATAAAGCTATATGGATAATATACCTGTAACAAACGCTTTTACCCCTAACTGGAGCGAACTCAAGCCGGAATGGTTAATCACCAATTTTGCGCTCTCTCTTTTTAAGGTTGTCGTTAGTATACGAGGAACCCTCAGCATGAAGGACGTGTTAACGGATCTGAACGCGGAAGGTGAAGTGTTACCATTGTCGCCGCCGAGAGACGACTGGCTGGGCCACAAGGGGATGGTTCAAGCCGCCGAATATATTCGAAAAAAGCTGCTCGACGAAGAAATTATATTTCGTGCGCTCGCTAAGGTATCGCTTAACGTCGTCGTCGCCTTAAATGTAAATTCGTGTTGTCTCGATGTAAACGATAGCTCGTTTAAACGGAATAATTACACTTATCGTTGCACACGGACCCTATGTCGAGTCACGAAGAGAATGGAAGGAAAAGAGCCAAGCGCGATGATTACTTTCATACCTTTGATGCACAGGGTACCTCAGCACTTTGTAAACTAAACTGTATCAGGATCTTTTATACTATTCGTCAGTTTAGTCTTTAACAAGCTAAAATAAAAAGTTTTCATCCTCTGCTTGTTAAAGACTAGATGAATATTGTATTTTATCAATGCAAGTTATTTAAACTACATTAAAAATTTACTAATTTAAATTTGACGAAAGTTGCGACGGATTTTTATTTATAGTTATTAAAGTGGGAAGTGAGAATCGATTGAAAATATCTCATCAAATTTTTGGAGGGAATCGAGAATTTTGAGACACTTAATAATTATTTCTTTTGAGAAACAGAAATAGAAACTTCTTGAGAGATGAGATATTCAAGCGCAATTATTATTTCATAAACGAATAATTGAGTGGAAATTGATGCATTGTGCGAGACAGTACTCTTCGTCGTTTATGCTTGACACGACGACGGTAGAAATGCTCTTTGGTTTTTTAGTTGGAAATCGTTCAAATTACTTCTTCAGGACACGTCGAGAGGAACCCATCAGTTCGGTCTGGTACTCGTTGGACATTCTTTAGGAGCGGGTACAGCGGCCATCCTGGCGATATTGCTCAAGCAGGATTACCCGGACTTGGTGTGCTTTTCCTTCGCTCCACCAGGTGGTCTGTTGAGCATGCCTGCTCAGCAGTACACGCAAGAATTTATTACGTCCGTGGTGGTTGGGAAAGATGTCGTGCCCAGGATAGGTCTTCGACAAATGGAAAGTTTAAGGGCTGATCTTATCAACGCCATAAAGAGGAGCGTCGATCCAAAGGTACGTATTTCCTGAAACTTTTCTATTCGCTCTGCATAAATACGAGGGTCATCCCAGATTCAAAGAGCACGTTTCAGTGACGCTCAAAATTGATCGAGTATTTAATATTATTATACTTGTTATTTAATCAAACTGTAACTTCTGATCATACAGTTTTGGAAACGTACTTAATATCCCGAAATATTACATTAATAAAAAAAATACGGCATACAGGGTGTTCCGTAACTAGTGTAAGAACCGGAAATGGGGGATAGCTTAGACGATTCTGAACAACAATTTCCTTTGCAAAAATGTCGGATGGGGCTTCGTTTTTGAATTATTCCATTCGACATTTTTGCAAAGGAAATTGTTGTTCAGAATCGTCTCAGCTAACCCCCATTTCAGGTTCTTACACTAGTTACGGAACACCCTGTATATTGAACATAGTATTTATTAGAACAGTAGACGAACAATAGGCGTAATGTTGGATGTGTATAACTTAACATCAAATATACAGGGTGTTCAGCCATCTCTGGGAAAAATTTTAATAGGAGGTTCTAGAGGCAAAAATTAGACGGAAATCAAGAATACCAATTTGTCGATGGAGGCTTCGCTAAAAAGTTATTAATGTTCCGCCGTTACTGAATTTTTTTTCGAAAATACACAGGAATTCGGCGGTATGTCTGTTCACCAAACATGACTGTAATTAACTCCCGCAACCGAAAATAATTTTTCCAAAATGATTTGAAATTTTTTTTTTACCGAAAAATTTGTCCACCTTCCAGATTTTTTTTCTCGAAAGTGCGTAGGATTTCGGGAATATGTGTATTCACACAAAATGGTTGTATTTGACCCCAGAGCCTAGAAATAATTTTTTTAGAACGGTACCTACCTCCTTGTCGATTTTCCTTCAAAATACGTTTTTCATTTTTAATAAATTTGATTGACGCTGTACGGAAATTTTGTCTAATAACTTTTTGTAGATATCTAGGAGCTCTACTTCAGAAAAAAGTTTCATTGAAATATATTCAGTATTCTAGGAGTTATGGGCGTTTGAAAATTGGATCATTCTTACGAGGTTTTTCTCACCTCACGGGGTCAAGGGGCAATTTTTCGAATATTCTTGGAATACCTACATATTCTACACTAAAATACGCGTTGTCTGCCGTTTGAAATACTAAAATCCCCCAATCCATTCAGAAGTTATGACATTTTTAAGATTCGCATGAAATTTCGGGGGTGCATTAGATTTTCGTTTAAGAATTTTTTTCTCGAAAGTGCGTTGGATTTCGGGGATATGTGGAATGACCAAAAATGATTGTAATTGACCCCCGCAACCAAAAATAATGTTTTCAAAATGATTTGAAATTTTTCAATTTAATTTTCTAATAACTTTTTAACGAAGACGCAGTCAACAAATTGATATTTTTGATTTTCGTTTTATTTTGGCCTCTAGAATCTTCCATTAAAATTTTTCCCAGGAGTGGCCGCACACTCTGTATACCTTGAAGTGTTACATTAGTACAAAAAGTACGGAATATTAGGTCGTCCCATAATTTCTTGCCCGTTCGACATTCTCAAATTGACGAAAATAACCATTGGTGATTTAGAAAGGAAAAATCGAAAGTTGTCAATTTCAGGGATTTCTGAAATTTTAAACACACAGTGGAGTCTAGTTTTCCTCATTAGTTCGGATAATGGAGGTTTCGATATTCGGTAAATGGAGATCCAAGTACACATGGATAATGTCAAACACAGCTAGAACCGAATAAAGTTGATTTAGAATGAACTTTTACTCACTAACAAAAAATTGCAAGTTTAAAGATTTTGAATAAAATTTAATTATTCTCATTGATATGAATTATATACACATACGTTAAATATGTATATTCTTTTGCTATTTCTCCTGATACAAGATAATTTACAAGCTTATTTATTACTAACAGTTATTCTGGAACAAATTATGTATCTACATAAAAGCAAACTACATGTTAGCGACCTACAAAAAACGAAAAATACGCTTTTGGATAATTGTAATGACACTTGACTTCAGTTTGGATAATAGAAGCTCACCCAGAAATTCGGATAAACGAGGTTCCATTGTACCAACAATAACGATTCATAGACATTTGAAAAAAATAAGTTGTGTCAAAGCTCAAAATATTGGATCCACACTGAATGGATATACATAACAAAACTGAACCTTTCTTAAGACACTTAATAATAGAAGATAAGAAGTGAATTTTATACATCAATCTTCAGGCTTTTCCACTGGGTAAACAATTTGAAAATGTCAACGTTCCGAAGAACAGCGTCGAATAACATTTCAATGAACGATCGATGAAGTTTTATAGCGTCGATGTAATGGTTTGCCAAAGAAAGAGGAGAGAGTTAACAAAAGAGAAGAGGTTTACTATTTTCTATAAAATTTCATAGTAAATTTGAAATATTGCTTTAAGTTTAGTGCGAAACTTATGGGATGACCTAATATTTTTGAATTCCACAAGTTCGTATGCCTTCGATTAACGTTATATTTAGATTCGTCGTCATTGTGGAAAACCTCGCTAATCTATTAATAATAATATTAATAATGAAAAATATCAAGAATGTTGTATTGCATTAACGATTGCCATACCCATTTCTCTATTATTATATTCCATACGTTTTAGTTGGAAATACAATTCCATTTCGATCATCTTTAATCAGCGTCTGACGAACCCCACTTCTTGTCATTAAATACAGTACAATTACGTTACCGTCATCCAGGAGTGAGATTGTGCCATATTTCGAATATTTTTCAGCATATTTTAAAAAGAATTTCAATTTTTGTTTTGTAAACTACACACGTAGCAAGAGACAGTCTTCGATTTTCATTTCTTAAGAAACAATGTCTATTATCTATCGTCAGTGAGTCTCTAAAAAATTCATGGCATAATCTGATCCCATTGATCGGGGTTAGTTTGTACCAGTGAACTTTTCAACTAATTTCTTGTAATCGAATTATGAAGTCATATTACGAGTTATGCAATCGACTTACTGAATCTTTTCCTAAAAATACTGGTCTGTATTTCTTCTTTTCTAACACGTTAATTCCCACGGTGGTCTCAATCCTAATATTTATAAATTTTTTAATAATATTAGCATTTTAAGAACGTTACACAATTGCAAGTACGTCATTGAACTATTGAATCTTCCTGCTTTTGAAATTAAAATTTGAATAAATGTCGAATGCATTTTTTAAAGTGAAAACCAGGCATGGCAGTCAACGTATTAATTCGGATGAATTACTTGCTTCAGACGAAAATTTTCAGGTTAATTTTAAAATGTAAAACAATGCTACAGTGAATAAACAAGAATTGTTGTTCGAGAAGGTTAAATACAGTTATTGAAAACATTCATTGGTACCAGTGGTGGATCTAAAAGAGCTCAAAGGAGGAAGAGCTAAAACAATTCTATAATTCCATCCCTAAAAATGAAAAAACAAAAATAGAAACGTTAATGTTTCAATGAATGTTTAACATTTACCAAAGAATAAAGAAATTGTTTAAAGCGATTCAAAGTCAGAATATGCATATATATTTTTGGTCAATGGGAAGGGGTTGAAACCGTTGTAGCCTCGACCCCGTTAGATCTGCCACTGACTAGAATGCAGAATGGGAGCTTGAATCTTTATTAACCCCAGGAAGATTAAAGGCGGAGGCGACTTGTCGAATCTACCAATAAATAAATTTGTTAAATGTACTACTTGCAAACATATATTCCTTGTCATTTCGGAAAAAGTTTTGAAACATTTAAAGAAAAAATTATGACTAATAAAACAAACCATGTAAGTTCAAAAATTAGCAAGGATAATATAATTAAGAAACTAATAAGGCAAAGTTCTTCGGTTAAACTTTCATCACGAAACATTTAAATCAGCACATACTACAAAACATATTATTTATGAGGTAGAATGAGTTCAGGAGGCTAAAGAACTAAATTGAAACATATAGAGAGTGTTCCGCCACCTCTGGGAAAAATTGAATTGGGCGATTCTAGAGGTCAAAATAGGACGAAAGTCAAGAATACCAATTTGTTGATGAAGGCTACGTTAAGAAGTTATTAAAGTTTAAAGTTCCGCCCGTACTGAATTTTTTTCTCGAAAATGCGCAGGATTTCGGAGGTATGTCTATTCACCAAAAATGATTGGAATTGGACCACCTAGTTAAAACTAATTTTTTTAGAACGATTAAAATTTTTTAATTTTATTGAAGAATTTTATATCTTCTCGAATTTTTTTCTCGAAAGTGAGTAGGATTTCTGAGGTATGTCTATTCACCAAAAGTGATTGTAATTGGCCACCGTAGCTAAAAATAACTTTTTTAGAACGATATGAAATTTGTTTATTTTGCCGAGAAATATAGGCCTGTTGATTTTTATTTTTAGTAATCTTATTTGACGCCCTACAGAAAAATTGTCTAATACTTGTTTGTAGGTGCCCATGAGCTCTACTGCAGAAAAAAGTTTCAACGAGATACGTTCACTATTGTAGGAGTTATGGCCATTTGAAAATTGGATCATTTTTATGGGGTTTTTCTCATTTTGCATAGTCAAGGAACAACTTTTCGAATATTTTTAGAATTTCTACATATTCTTCAGCAAAATACGCGTTGTTTGCCGTTTGAAACATTAAAATCCCCCAATCCGTTCAGAAGTTATGACATTTTAAAGATTCGCATGAAATTTCGGGGGTGCATTTTTGGCCTCACATTAGATTCTCGATTATGAATTTTTTTCTCGAAAGTGCGTAGCATTTCGGGGTTATGTGTGTTAACCAAAAATGATTATAATCGATCTCTGCAATCGAAAATAATTTTTTTAGGACGATTTGAAAAATTTTTTTTTCACCGAAAAATTTCAGCATTTATCCGAATTTTTTTCTCGAAAGTGGGTAGGATTTCGGAGGTACGTGTATTCACAAAAAATGATTGTAATTGATCCCCGCAACGAAAAATAATTTTTCCAGATTGATTTGAAATTTTTTAATAACTTTTTAACGAAGCCTCAGTCAACAAATTGATATTCTTGATTTTCGTTTTATCTTGGCCTCTAGAATCTCCCATTAAAATTTTGTTCCAGGGGTGGCCGAACACCCTGTATAAATAAGAAATGGAGCTAAATATAATATTAATTTTTTAGCTAACTTTTTCTTTTTAATATCGATTTTTTCTACGGCGTTTTAAAAAATTTCGAGGCCCTCTAGTTGTATTAATAATGTGCTATTTATGTTTGCAGGTCTGTTTTGGTTTAATGAGAGTATTAATAAACAAGAAAAAATTAAAAGCGACTGAGTACAATGGTTACGCGCGTAAACAACATAACTTCCCGGAACTCTTGAACTTTTTAAATTACATACAGTGGCCCACGAAAGTGTTCGAACGCATGCAAGAAATAAATGAAACGAAAGAGATATTTATGTTAGAGTTCAGTTTCGAAGATAACATCATAATAGCTATTAGACACAAGTATCAGGATAATATGTGCAAAATTTCAACTCAATCCAACAGTGTATATTGAAATTAAGAAGCATTTATTATACAAACGTACTGCATGAGGGTCACGAAAATGTTCGAACGCGTGGAATTTATTGAAGTAAACATTGTTTTGCTTCAAAATATGTAAACATTTGTAAGTTGATTTCGTCTCTAGGCATCGCATGGTAAATTCTATGTCGTTAGTTGTCGATTATCGTGTGTTCAGTGACAATGAATTCAAAGAGAACAGAAACGCAAATATGCGAAAGGGAAATTATAGTGAGGATGCACAAAGATGGAAAATCGTATCGAGAAATAGCTAAGTGTGTAGGTAGAAGTGTGTCCATAGTCCACTATATTATAAAAAAATTAAAAACTGAAGGTACAGTGATAAACAAACAGCGTGCAGGCCGGCCGAGTAAGTTAAGTGCAAGGGAACAGAAGATTGTTGTTCGCGAAATTAAAAAAGATCCGACTATTTCGGCAACAAGACTTGCTCAAATGGTTAGTGAGGATTTTGGAAAAATTGTTCACCCCGAATTATGCCGCAGAATACTGCGGAAAAATAATTTTAATGGTAGAGTACCAAGGAAGAAGCCATTCATCGGTAAAACGAATAAAGCTAAACGATTAAAGTTTGCAAAAGAATACGAAAGTAAAGATTGTAACTTTTGGAACAGAGTTATTTTCTCCGACGAAAGTAAATTTAACATATTTGGGTCGGATGGACAGCGATATGTGTGGAGAAAACCGAATACGGAAATGAATATGAGAAATTTACGCCCAACTGTGAAACACGGAGGAGGTTCGGTTATGATTTGGGGGTGTATGCCAGCAAGTGGGGTAGGAAATCTTGTATTTATAGACGGTATTCTAGACAAGGCCAAATATTTACATATTTTAAAAGACAATTTAAAAAAAAGTGCTGTCAAATTAGGCCTGTTAAAAAATTTTTAGTTTCAGCAAGATAAGGACCCTAAGCACAAAGCCAAGATTGTGCAAGAGTGGCTATTATATAATACACCATATATGCTGCATACACCAGCTCAAAGCCCAGACATGAACCCCATCGAGCATTTGTGGGCCGAAATCGGTAGAAGATTAAAAAACCACAATATTTCATCAAAGGATGGATTAAAACAAAAAATATTACAAATATGGAATTCCATTAAATCCACAGTGACGGAGAACTTGGTGCACAGCATGGGACGACGTCTAAGTGTAGTAATTAAGGCAAAAGGAGGTCCAACCAAATACTAACGTAGTGAAAAATGTAAATTATTTCTTCCGTTCGAACACTTTCGTGACCCTCATGCAGTACGTTTGTATAATAAATGCTTCTTAATTTCAATATACACTGTTGGATTGAGTTGAAATTTTGCACATATTATCCTGATACTTGTGTCTAATAGCTATTAAGATGTTATCTTCGAAACTGAGCTCTAACATAAATATCTTTTTCGTTTCATTTATTTCTTGCATGCGTTCGAACACTTTCGTGAACCACTGTAAATGTAAAGTGTTGAAATAATGTAACAATATGCTTTTGATGACGTTTGTTGGTTGGCATAATGTTTATTTATTACGGATTAGTTTTTTGCTGCATTGGCCTACATTAGTTATCGAGTGACGACGAAAATTTTGTAACCTAACATTCAATCGTCATTGTAATCAGAATATATGAATATTTATTTTTGGATACGTGATGATGCATTTTATCATGTAGTATAAATTAGGAAAGTTTCGTTGACAATCCATAAATGAGATTCAGTAATATATTATATTAGAAAAGCAAAATTTACTAAAGAAATAAATATGTTCTTTCCTAAACACATATGTATGTATATTGCTCGTTTCCGAACGTACGAAACGAGTATTTATTTACTTTTAACACAGTTTTTATGATTGTTTTCAAATAAAAAATTAGGAGAATCGTAGATGAGCTAGACAAGCCTTTCTTTTAATGTTTGACATAACAGTTTGTGGCCTAGTCTTCCTAGGGTTATTCAATAGAAATGGAGGAACGTTCGAAAACACCATTTGTCACAATCTAACCCCTGGTTGCACAAAGTGACCTTTGATGACGGTACATCTGTAACTTCTATTACGATTTTCCTTCGATAGAAGAAAGTAATGAAGAATGAAATTGAACTGTTCAATAATGCCTAACTTCCCATGACATTTGTCTGCAAGTACAGCGTTGCACCTGTAAACTGCAACTGTACTGCGTTTCCTTTCCACACTTTGACGGCCGCTGTCACGTGTTCGTGGTTTCATGTGTACAGTTTCAGTTCAAGTTATGCCTCTGCATTTATAATTTCTTCATAAAGTCAATGTATAATAGAAAGTTGTTTCAAAGTGTTCGTATCAAATCGATCCACAAATTGTTTTCAAAAGTTAACCGCAAACTTCAGTGTTCATAAATTCATAATTCGGAAATAAAGAATCTGTTTTTGAGCATAACGATGAAGTACATAAATTGACAACGATACTGAAAACTTCTCACTAAAAACCTATAAAAATTAATTTCCAAATTGAAATGTTAAAGCAAATTTTGATTAGGATTCATGAATCTTAGCGAGGTTACAAAAATAAGTACTAAGGCAAATTTCGAAGTTTATGATTGTTCAAAATCACAGTTTTGGTCTGGCAGTCAACGTGTTAAAATATAGAGTGACAGTACCGATAGTTGGCTATGTGTCTGGAATTTACGAAGAAAATCTTCATGATATTTTCAGAATGAAAGCAATTTCTAATAACTCTTTTGTGGAGCTAATTAACCTAAAGGTTTGCTTAACACGTAACATTATCTTGATATATTAAGAGATAACCCCCCCCCCCCTTTTATTTCTATTTATTTTTAAGAAGGGAGGTGTCAACGTGTTAATAATAAAATTACGTAGAATTTGAGATCTTCCGATCGAAAAACATGAAGCTTCAGTTGAAACTCTTATGAAAATGGCAGGCAACAATCTTGGCGTGAAACATGCGGCCATCAAAGTGTCAATCAATTCTTTACGATCATTCCTTTAGAATGGTATATCAAACTTAACTGGCCTGATCATTTCCCTGACCACGAATCGCTCCAGACTCGTAACTTTGCGCCGAACTGCACAGCTGGTCTCTCTGTTCGAGAGACTAGGGTCAGCTAAGCGGTTACGATGAGTATAACTCGTCGACGGCCTTGAGCGGCCACTTGATTTCGGTCCGAATACAGTAATCGTGGAAACGAGCGATAAGTACGCTCACGGAGAACAACAGTCGAGTAGAAAAGCTCGCGTATCAATCGCGATCGTTCGTTTTCAGTGGAAAACGATAGCATGCTCGGTGATGTGTTGCGGTTGCGGTTCCACCCCCACCTCGGCGGCGAATTTAGAGGCTGGCGGATGCATCAGCGAGTATCAGAGGGACAAGGACCTAGCTCGTTCCCAAACCGTTGTCCCGAGCGACTCCAGTATCGCGTTGACGTTACACAGGCCTCTGTACCCGCCCGGGCGTATTATACACGTTGTCCGACATCATCCGAACAAGGGAGAGTAAGTTCGAGCGTTCACTATACTTTCGACTCGGCCGTGCCCGTTCGGTTGGACCTCAGACACCGTCGAGACACGTTTACAATGCAGTACCTACTATAAAGCAGGTATGTCAAACACACTGCTCGATCCGTTGGATCAGTATTCTTCAAACAGCGATCCACGCACCCTGTTGGCTCCCACAAACCTCGTGGAGCCGATTTATTTAGCAAATAGGAAATATAACAACCTATTTACCAATACAATACTTTAATAACAATTTGAATATATATCAAGGGACGTGTTAACAGAAAATGTGGAAATTATATACAGGATGTTCGACCACCCTTGGGAGAAATTTTAATGGGAGATTCTAGGGGCCAAAATAAGACGAAAATCAAGAATACCAATTTGTTGATCAAGGCTTCGTTAAACAGTTATTAACGTTTAAAGTTCCGCCTGTAGAACGGCAATCTGCGAACAGCTGCGTGCGCGTGATAGTGGTTCTCATTCAACATAAGTACGCAGCTATTCGCAGATTGCCGTTCTACAGGCGGAACTTCAAACGTTAATAACTATTTAACGAAGCCTCGATCAACAAATTGGTATTCTTGATTTTCGTCTTATTTTGGCTCCTAGAATCTCCCATTAAAATTTTTCCCAGGGATGGTCGAACACCCTGTATAAACAGTTTTGTACAAGTTCGTGAAATTCTAATCTAATCCTTTAAATCTTGTGTTCTACTTGCACTGTTGCATTCTGTTTGCATTCTTGGTTAAATACAAATTCAATTGTGGGAGGTGTTTTAATTTAACAAATAAGTCCATCCCTCGTGGACCAGTTTCTTCCTAAACTACGAGGCCCACCCACCAAGGGTTCGTACGGGGGTGGCTGGGCCCAAATTACCCTTTGAAAACTAATTAAGAATGCGCGTCGTTGGCTTTAGTGTATGTTTAGTGTAAATTCCGTGCAGTTAAGCAATTTAAGTATTATTTGTTGTCCTAAACAATCCTACAATAAACCATGTTTGGAATTCCAAACATACCCTCTGAGCGTCCGTGTGAAGTTCTAGAAGAAAATAAAATGAGTTAGGTTTAATAATCGTTGAACCTCCTGTTGTTGGTGGGTTATCAGTAGTCATAGGCTTGTCGATTTGGTACAGTCGCAGAGACAATCGCTGATACTGGTTGCAATACAAGTTCTGCCGTAAGCAATGGGTTTGAGCTGTCTGCAGATCATGAAAGCAAACTAGTGATGGATCTAAACCGAATAACTTACTCGACGTTGAATTGTCTACTTTCCAACATTATAAGCGCTATAGACTTAAACCTTAACACTTTGACTGCCACGTCACCCATATTTGTATGACAGGATTTACCATTATGATGTTAGAAAAATTAATTCCCAAGTTAAGACATCGAGGGAAATAAATTCGGATAGAATTTGTGAATTTTAACAAGGTTACGAAAATAAGTACTGAAACAAATTTTAGGTTATGTAACTTACAATGGTCTAAAATCAAGATTTTATTTTTGCAGAATATTATACGGTTTTAATCTGGCAGTGAACGTGTTAAGTGGACTTTCAGTCTCAACTGAATTATTTTACTTAATGTTCATTTTTACCAAATTGGTAAATGAAAATCAACCTTCTTTTAAAGCATTTCAAAAATAATGAACTAATGAAGGATTACATAAATTTTCAAATAATTATATTGACATCTATTAAACAATTATTAATTTAAACTTCCAAAGGGTTAAACCCATTGTTAAAGTAACAATGTATCATTTCGATTTCATCGAAATTTCGGGAGTGCAGTCTGAACGTGCATTACAAAATATCTGCGTATTCGAACAAAAATGTACGGAATTTCGCGTTCCAAGATCTAGTCACGGTAATTATTCAAAATAGGGGACACCTCACCGATTTCGACGATTTTCAAATATATTGTAGAACTCGACATTCTAAACAATTTTTTCTTATAGATGCAACCCTCGCTCGGTTTTAGTTTCCGAGATACTTGCAAAATTCTGTTGGTACTATAATAGAGAGACGACTTAATGGCTTGGCACGCTGATTGGTCGTAGAGCAATAGTGAATAGCGAAGTTTGTTCTAGCACGCATTGTCATTATTGCCTGAGACGATCGCAATTGCAATTCCGTCGCGTGACGAAGAACGCGAACGAAACTTATCAAGACAGAGTAAGATAGAACCATATTGAACGACATTGGCGTAGCCGTAAGCTCAGAGTATTAACCATGAACAGAACAAAAATGTATCTCTCGTGGATATAGAGATTCTACTACTATGTAACGTGACGTAAAGCAGGATTTTCTGGTGGGAATTAAGGGGATTCTCGTGTAACAACGTTTAAATTGAAACTTTCCTTTTTTATTTTTTTCACAAAGAATTAAATGATCTATTGTACTAGACTCTTGGGGTCATGAAAAGAGACCCTTAAACTATACGAAAATATTTTTTTATTTTAATAAATAGTAGCTAAATCTTTTAATCCTATCTGATAATGTTAACCATAGTTGATGTACAACTTAGAGATCAGAACGCAACAAATAAAAAATTTTCTTGAAGTTGGTTGATTTGCACTGTCACTGAACTAATTTTAAACAAAAAATATTGTCAATTTAAAAAAGTACAGCATCTTGAAGAAAATTTTTTTGGTATAGAAAATTTTTTTTTTGAATTTTTTTTATAGAAATTTTTTTCCAATTCTTTTAATAATATTTACAAATTTGTACAACGAGAAATAGTCAAAATTAGTGGTAGTACAGACTCTCGTAGACAGTCACGTACTGAAAAAGTGTTCTCATGGCTTCCACAATTCATTCCACAAAGATACATTTTTATGCGGCAGGTATCAAAAGGACGGGGAAAAATTGATAATCAAAAAAATGGCAGCATTTTGAAGTTGAAGTATCGATTTTTCTTGGTGTTTTTAACTTTAACATTCTACGAAAAAATAGAAAAACTAATGATTTTGACTTCATTCTGCTACGGACTTATAGCGACACATATACTGAAGGAACACGCCAAATTTGAACGGAATCGGTGCTGTAGATATTGTGATATCATGGAAACCAATTTAGAAAAGATAGTTTTAAGAAAACAGTATTTAAACAGAAAGTCCGTTTAAACGGGTATAGCTCGATCGAGCAATACGTTAATTTTAGGAGTTCAGTGATATACTTTTGCACATATATTTCGACGACTATATTTTTGAAGAAAATGCAAAAAAAGAATGAAATTTTTTGGCAGTTTACAGTAGAAGACCCCCTTTAAGTCTATAGTTCTCATAGTGTTGGAAAATAGAGAGATAATACAACATCAATTGAGTTAGTTGCTTAGATCCATTGCTAATTACTGCCTGCAACTCATTGCTTTTATCGAAACTTGCATTGTAACAAATATCAGCGTCAGTAGGATGTTTAATGGCTTAGGTGGTCATATCTACCAATCGAGAACTGTAGCGATTTAGTTCTTTTGCCCCTATGCCTTCTTGACTGCCAAGTTATATATTCTCTTTATTCTTCTTTTCTTCCTCTTTTCCTTCTACAATAAATCGTCCATAAGTGTCGTGAAATCTGTTTCATAACGGCCTAGTCTCCCTCGCCATTCCTAGCTACTAGCATGCCAAACGTACTTAAAGATATATTATTACTGCAACATTCTGCCTATCTTTACGTTATTTTTATTTTACTTTCTCAAATAATTTCATGCAGTTGTCTTTTTTACGTGCTATCATTGAACTGTAATAGTTACAAAATATATCAAATCTTGCGATCTCAAGCATTTTTAATCCCTTTGGAGTTTCGAAATTTTGAAGAGACAATAAATGCTTGCCACAAGAGAACCAATAAAACGAAACGTAGCTCAAAGAAGCACTATACAGGGTGTTCGACCACCGCTGGGAAAAATTTTAATAGAAAATTCTAGAGACCAAAATAAGACGAAAATCAAGAATACCAATTTGTTGATCGAGGCTTCGTTAAAAAATTATTAACGTTTAAAGTTCCGCCTGTAGAACCACTATCGCGTGCACGCAGCTGTTCGCGGATTGCCGTTCTACAGGCGGAACTTTAAATGTTAATAACTTTATAACAAAGCCCCAATCAACAAATTGGTATTCTTGATTTTCGTCTTATTTTGGCCTCTAGAATCTCCCATTATAATCTTTCTCACATGTGGCCGAACACCTTGTATAAAAAAACAAGACAAACAAATTACAGTCGATTGATGTCTAGAGTGTTAGAAACAAAAGACTTCTTATTAATAAATTCTTTTCTTCATTTCCGTGGAAATTATTATCGTCTTTCTAATCTTACGCGCGTTTGCTGAAACTTGAGATATGAATGTAAAATCGTATAAAAATTTTTCCTCTGGAAATATACTAAGAAACGCTTCTTTTAACACTCTGACTGCCACGTCTCCCGTATATGTAGATGTCAGAACTATGAAATTTAAAAAATTAATACCCCAGTCGGGGGTATTAAAAGAAATAAATCTGGGTTCGTGAATTTTACTAAGGTTACAAATATAAATAATATGACAAATTTTAAGTTGTTTACAATTGTCTCAAGTCAAAGTTTTGGCAATCAATTAACAAATATTTAATTCTAAAATTACAAAAATATAGGAATGAAATAATCTAGGTTTTTCTCATTTATTAATGAAAAGAAAAAATACTAGTGTTGGTAAGAGACTAAAAAATGGTGTTTAAAATATTTTTTACCGTGGAAGAATGGTAGCAAATTGCAAATCGGTTCTCGAGCAAAAATGTGTTTGACATGCCTGCTCTGTATAGGACAGAAGCGATTACCGACAAACTTTAATCGACGATCTTTTCCGTTTCTAGGCAAAAATATGAAAGCCGCTGGAGGTACGTTTATCGAATAGTTTGCATTTTCAGGGCTGCTCTGGGTAATTGCATCTTGAGGATGTGCCCGCATGCGTACCTTGGATCTATACTCTACACTTCTTTTCCTGCAACGTCTGCCGCACCCTTCGATTATCTTGTCTCAGAGACATTACTTATACAAATGATCTTTTCATACGTGCATGAACGAGACTTAGAAGAAGGTGTATACCGTAAAAAGTATCCCAGTAGTCGTAGTACGAGAAAAGGGACGATTTTTCGTGAAAAAACAAATCGAAATTATGCAATAGATTTTTTTTTGTGATCTCTCATTATCGGGAGGAACAATTTTTAAGATCTCTCGGGTGTACGTGCATTTTTTAATTGCAAATCTGAAACACCGTTCTGTATGCAGCAACACGAACAGCATTTTAGTAATGATAACTTTTTATTTCCGTGTGTAAATCCTTGATATGGGCTACGTTAATCATACAAGTAGGAAATAGCACATCTTTAAAATTAAAATTCACTCGAAGTACGCACGTGTGTAATTGTTACAGTGGAATGATTCAATGCGGACGTCAAACCATGAGAAAAAGTTATGAACATATCGAAGTCACTTGTAATCGTGTGTAATCTAACGATGCAGTTTGAATTTCCTAACGCGGTACGACATGGAGCGATATTTTCAAAATTGTCTCCAATAAATTGATTTGTAATTAACATTAAATCAATCTAATACAGTTTATGCATATAATATTGAAGTTCATTTGCAAAGACTTAGAATTATACATGCAACGCGTACAGTCACGTGTACGCATGCTCCATAAGCTTTCGAAATTATTTTTCTCGATAACGAAAGATGATAGAAAAAATATTATATTTTCGATTCATTTTGCATAAATGATTATCTTCTTCTCGGTTCTACTACGATTACACAAATACAAGATGTAGAAATTGTGAATTTGTTGCGTACGGAAAATTTTTTAAGACGCGACTAATGAGATTTTCTTCAGATTTCGAGAACAGGTTTGGAAAATTGTTTAATAGATTTTAAAGACACTTTGTTCTTTTAAACGAAAGACCACGTGTTCCAACTAAAGTATCGGTTACTTTTAAAACGAGGAGGTCACTCGAGATCATAAATATGTAACAAAGTCAGTTTAAAATTTGGTTTACATTGTAAAACAGCTTATTCGTTGAACTTTGCCTTTTCGACCTACTTGATACACTTCCTTTATGTAGATTTTGCTTTGATTCTTATTTAGTAAATAAAGTTGTTAAATTAAAAAAGAAAGTATGTTCTGACGAAAAATTTGAAATCGATACTTTCTACATTCAGTGTGTTCGATGTTGCAAAATATCTTTTTCAGATGGTTGCACTGGATAAATCGTATACTATGTATATGTGTACTTCAAATAACTTTGTAAATATTGATTTTAAGTAAAATTGATACGAACAAATATTGTACAATTTTAAAGTGGATTTCATGTTTTTATATATTCAGGACATTTTACATGTAATCTGACACAGTGTGTGCCACCTAAAAGCAATGGATATTTACATTTTCCAAGTAGAAAGATTTTACTGAAGAGCACCGAATCATACGGTCGAAACTTTTGAAAATTTTGAAAATATATAATATCGTTTTACTAAATTGTTCTTATTGATTAAATAAGAATCATTTTTAAGGTTAATTCCATGACAATTTCACACAACTCATTATTTTCAGTGTAAGCGTTAATTGAATAAAAAATAGCCTTATTTTTTAAACAATTATGAAATCAGCTATTTGTAAAGTTTTGAAAAATCCTTCGATTTACATATGCATTAGTACAGACTACAAGACATCCAAATTTCGTCTAAAATCAAAATTTGACTTCAAAAATTACCCAGTTTGACATTCAGTGATTTTGATATCTAAGGTGTTCGACCACCCCTGGCAAAAATTTTAATGGGAGGTTCTAGAGGCCAAAATTAGACGAAAATCAAGAATACCAATTTGTTGATGGAGACTTCGTTAAAAAGTTATTAACGTTTAAAGTTCCGCCCGTACTGATTTTTTTTCCTGAAAATACGCAGAATTTCGGTGGTATGTCCATTCACCAAAAATTATTGTAATTGACCCCCGCAACCGAAAATAATTTCTCCATGAATGATTTGAAATTTTTTAATTTAATTTGTTAATAACATTTTAACGACGCCTCAATCAGGAAATTGATATTCTTGATTTTCGTCTTATTTTGGCCTGCAGAATCTCCCATTAAAATTTCTCCCAGGGGTGGCCGAACACTCTATACATATACGAGCAAACACATAACATTTGCTACTTTAATAAAGAGAAGGTTATTTTAAAAATCTTAACGTCCCCAAAACATAACACTTTTTCACAGAAACAATTTTTCCATATTTGCTTCGATCTATAAAGAGAATCACATTGGTCGTATCTTAAAAATCTCCCTGCACAAAACGGACCATTTCATTTTGATTGCTTCAAATATCCCTATTGCTTACTTCGAGAAGGAAAAAGTGTAATAGAAAGAGATTGGTTTGAAAATTAGATTCTTCGGGCCTACATTTAAAAAAATATAAATATGTCGTTCCAAGCCAAACCGATCACTTCGAACGATATGTGTCAGGGACTTTGTTGAAATTGGGGAGAATTAGGGAGGGTTTAAGTCATCGTTTTGTTGATCCCTAATTAGTTTAAGAAATACACTTACGGTGAATATAATTTTATGTCATCGATGGAACTGTATCTTAGGTCTATCAAACCCTTACTATTAGCAATGTAGCGTTCATAATCTTTTCCATACTTGCTTAATTCTCGGTCACAGCTTGTCACTGTCCTATATTTGAACTTCGTAAGCATGCATTTCTTCTTTCTTCAATCATCAATTACTGATGTTACTTTTCTTTTCATTCAGTAGTTGGTACTGCTAAAAATCAGTATTAATATTACCATTAATATCTTAATAAAAACAGGTATTAGGGGACAATACCACTTTTTTTTTGCAAATTTTCTGAAACTTCAAGCGTTTAAGAATACTTTACTAAAATATTCAAACGAGATTCGAACTATTAACGAAGGCATAACGTTTTCAAGTCTAGTCAAATTAACAATTCGCATTCGTTATTCGTGAATAAAACATTCCCAACTCTTGTTTATTATGGCATGTTATACATTTTTATTTATAAAAATATGCAACATACGACATCGTTGAACTTCATTAATACATGAATTTGACTTTTTGATCATATCTCAAAACAGATAACTCGAAATCTGAGCAGGATAGAACATATACTTAATTCGTATATCGTTTTTCACTTGATTTAGTCAATTTTAGATATTTTAATTCTAAAATATCCTGTGCATAAATTTAAAAATCATCTGGTTTCACTTTACAACCTACTATCAAGAATCATGGCATCAAAAATATTATTCATCAGTATCGAAAAATTTCCCCTAAATTAAACAACTTCTGCCTCTTACAGTTCCTCTCGTAGTTAAGAACAACGGTGATATTTGACTCGATCGAAGTAAGCAGATCACCAGGCGCATTATAGAAAGTCTCAACTTTTTAAAGTTCCAATCTTCGAATGCATCGGACCGCATGTTCCCAGCGTAGCGATTTTAGTTACTCGTAGAAGCAGAGACCAAAAATGATAGTTATGTCAAAAATTTGATAGAAGAACATCCATAAAAAATAGATTTTTATATACACAAAGGGTAGTCACCGTCAAATTTTAAAGAACTTTTTGAAAAATGCTTAAAAAACTTAACTTCTACATACGTGTTGTGGTTACTAATTAATTATTATAAATTAGTATAATTATTTTTGGTTACCGACAACAAATATTTTTGATTGCGAATAATCATTTTCGACTAGCAATCTAATAATGATAATAATGATTGGTAACAGTCGGGAGTAAGCAGACATAGTGCTGATTATATTTGTAACCAGAATGAAATTTTGATTCTTGATAATAGTTACTCTCAACTAATATAAAATTCTGCTCATCAATAATGGGTGTTCATAACCAAAAACTATTTTAGTTAAATATAATTGTTATTTGTGACCAAAAGCAATTTTCGCCAATTATAATCGTTATTTCTAACAGAAATTATTTTAAACAGAAAATATACAGGGTGTTCGGCCACCTCTAGCAAAAATTTTAATGAGCGATAGTAGAGGCCAAAATAAGACGAAAATCAAGAATACCAATTTGTTGATGGAAGCTTCGTTAAAAAGTTATTAACGTTTAAAGTGCCGCCCTTACTGAATTTTTTTCTCGAAAATGCGCAAGATTTCGGGGGTATGTCTATTCACCAAAAATGACTGTAATTGAACCCTACAACCGAAAATAATTTTTCCACAACGATTTGCAATTTTTTAATTTTCTCGAATAATTTCACACCTTCTCTATTTTTTTTCTCGAAAGTGGGCAGGATTTCGTGGGTATGTCTAATAACAAAAACTGATTGTAATTGACCCCCGCAACCGAAAATAATTTTTCCACAACGATTTGCAATTTTTTTTCTCCGTTGAAAAATTTAGGCACCTAATTGGATTTTCCGTAAGGAATTTTTTTCTCGAAAGTGCGTACGATTTTGGAGGTACGTGTAATGATAAAAAATGATTGTAATTGATCCCCGCAACCGAAAATAATTTTTTTAGAACGATTTGAAAAATTTTTTTTTGCCGAAAAATTTCAGCACCTACTCGATTTTTTTTCTCGAAAGTAGATAGGATTTCGGAGGTATGTGTACTCACCAAAAATGATTGTAGTTGACCCCCGCAACCGAAAATAATTTTTCCAGAACGATTTGAAATTTTTGAATTTAATTGTTAATAACTTTTTAACGAAGCTTCCATCAACAAATTAGTATTCTTGATTTTCGTCTTATTTTGGCCTCTACTATCGCTCATTAAAATTTTTGCTAGAGGTGGCCGAACACCCTGTATAGTGGACAGGTTGTGAAAAAGCTATCAATGGAGATTAATCAAAATAGTACTTTTGTTACACAAGTAAACTTTATTTATTACGTATCTGTATGGTAAATTATTTGATAATGAACTGTAAAAAATATTTTTATTGCTAAACAAGTAAATTGCATTTAATGGAAAAATAAGCAATTGTAAAGGGACAAAAATAAGTAGGCGCTCGATTAACGTGTTACTTTCTATCGAAATGTGTAAATAAATGCATTTATTTCGAACGAATCTATCGGTGTCTATTATAGATAAAGAGTGTTTGTTAAATAATATTAAAATAATAAAAACGAAAGAAATGTCACTACAAGTTCGAGATTTGATTGTTTCGGATTGTTGTAGGAGCATAAATTATCATACGATAGCTTGGAAATTTACTGTATCAAAAAGTGCTGCCGAAAAAATGTATAAAAAGTTTTTATTGCATTATAAAATCGTTGTGAATACAAGTGATGCAGTACATCACAAGATGATCGTCGAATTGTTCGAGAAAGCTGACGAGATCATCGCGAAACATTTTAGAGTCACTAAAAATTGTATCAACGAAAACAGTAAGACGAAGTCTACATGACGTTAGGTTGAAAAGCTACAAGACTATATGTTTAGCTTTTGTTAAAAAATATTTAAATATGGCAATGTCATTTTGAACAAAATAATATAAATGGATGAAAACAAATGGAATTGTGACAGCTTAAAAAAAGATGTCTAGTTTGAAGAAAATTAAATTAAAAGTTCAAGAAATCGTGTATTACACCGACTGTTTTTTGGTGGTGGATCACTAATGGTGTAGGGATGCTTATCGTGGAATGGAGTTAGAACTTTAGTACAATAAATGGGATTATAAATGCAGAACAATATATTTACAATATATATTCATATATTATAAACAAAAATTTAGAAGAGGTCAAAATGGTTCTTAACGGAGAATTTGTCTTGCAAGATAATGACCCTAAGTGGCGAAAATTACTAAAAGATTATTTGTGGATTCCTGTATAAAATTACTTGAATGGTCATTTCAGAGTTCAGATTTGAATTCGACTGAAAATTTATGGTGTATAATAGATGTTATGTTCCATTGAAAAAGCAGGGTAGATCTTTTTCGTGGCCCGATAATAATATAAAACGTAATTCATTCAGGTTTAATAAATCATACAGCGAAATAAACCTGTTTCTATAGTAATACACACGCACGAGATTTCCCCGCGACCGCGTGGCGAACTTCTCTTGGGGGGTTCCCCTACGGTCGACCAGTACTCCAACGTAAAGTGCCATTGTGCGGCCATATGCACGCCACACTTTTTAACAATATGCAGTTGAAACCATAAACAAAGATTATATTGAAAACTTAATAAATAGTATGCTACGACGTTTGGAGGCAGCAATTAAGGCAAAAGGTAGTAATACAAAACATTAATATTTTTATATTTCATGTTTTATAAGATGTTCATTTACTTCTTTTGTCTCTTCACAATTGTATTATTCATTAAACGCAATTTACTTGTATAAAAATGGAAATATTTCTTATAATTCTTCAGCAAATAAGTTATATGCCATATAGGTACGTAATAAATAAAGTTTATTTACAGTTGGTTCCAAAAGTACTATAGGTTTATAAGTAAAAATTTAAGCAAAATTTAGTTTTAATGAATATGAATTTTAAAAATTTTATTAATTCATTTTACTATATTATATAAAGGTTTTCAAATCAATCATGATACATGAAAGGAAAGTACACGTTTCGAAGATATGTACACGCAAAATGAAAGACAGAAAAGTATTCGGACATTTCTTATCGTGTATATTATGGCAATAGTATTATTTTGATTAATCTCTATCGATAGTTATTAGGTCGTCCCAGAATATCGTGCCGGTGTTCTGAAATTGACGAGGATAAAATTTGCAATTTAATAGAAAAAAAAACAAAATTTGTCAGTTCAGAGGATTTCTGAAATTCTAAATATACTAACACCAACAATTCATAGATAGATATTGTGTCAAAAGCTCGAAGGTTGAAATCCACACTGGCTTACGAAACGAAATTTTCTTGATAGTGCTGAAGTTTGCATGAATATTCTTCTTAACATATAATAAAGTCGAACCTGTTAAGAAATAAGATACAAAAATCTCTAGGCATTAGTGAGTATACAATTTGAAAATGTCAATGTTGTAATGAAAAACGTTGAACTACATTCTAATAAAAAATCAAAGGAGTTTTGCAACGACGATACAGTGGCTTTGCCAAAGAAAAGGGAGAAAATTGTTTACTTGTTTACGAGAAGAGGTTTACTGTTTTTCATAAAATTTCATTATACGTTCAAAATATTACTTTAAGTTGTAGTACAAAACTCAACACGAACGTATGGGACGACCTAACATTTTCATTGTCCATTTAAATATTGAAATACTTTCAAGTCGTTCATCTTTGAAACAATGTTTACAATAAAAGTAAAAAAGAATCTTAAAAATATTGAAGCAATAAGTACGCTATTAATTGATTTTGTCCACTCAAGAATTAAACTGAAGTTGCTATAGATAGCTATTGACAGCTATAGATAGTCTGGAGACTGTAAAATGGCAAGCATTGCTAAAAATCGCGCAAATGTTCTAGCCAAGCTGATACTTTTGTCCCCGACTGTAATGGTTGTAGTTGAATTTTATCAAAATTTCCATTACAATAGTCATGGTCTCTGTATAGAAGACGCGGCAGTCGATTCGATCTCGAGATTCGCGCGAAGTGGTTGAATGCCCGCGATACAGAACGGTCGTTCTTTTGTTCGATTTCAGACAAATGTTGAACAAACGCGAGCCGGTGTATCAGGCGCTATGGGCGGGTCCGTGCGACTTCGACGAGGTGCTGATAAGCCCAGTGATGATACAAGACCACATGCCGGACAATATGCTGAAAGCATTGAACAAGGTAAGCCACGCGGATCCGATAATCGGACAGATAAAGAGGTCGCAAACGCCGGTTAGCCGAATGCCCTCGGTAAGACCCGGTAATTACGAGCTCTTGGAAGAAACTGCGAACGATCTGGATGTTCCGAGGGGAGCGGACAAGTCTCGGAACAACGTGCTAGCCGGTGTACAGATTAATGGACACGTTAGAGATTGCGACGCCGGTAATACGGAAATTCAAATTGCCACGATCAATGTCACGGAAACCATTATCGTCAATGTCGAGGTACACGAACGAAAGGATACACAATCTGGATCCCGATGACGCGACACGCTCGACACCCGGTGTCGACCGACGTAGATCGACGAACGATTCAACGACACGTTATTGTTTTATAATTTTTACTTTTCTAAGTAATTATCTATGATGTTAACGATCTCGACGATTTTCATTCGAAGTATGTTAACGGAAAAAGGTTCACGTTCCAGAGCGAAGAATGATGGTCACTCGGTCCTTGGTTTTCGAGATTCTATTAGTAGAAATCTCGATTACAGTACGAGGATGTACTAGAAATCTGATGTGTCTCGATGATTTGTTAAAGTTTTTCATTGATCCATTTAACAATATCTGTGGGTTTAATGGCATAGTGTAATTAATTTGATTACTACGCTACTGTGCGTCCGCGAGAAGGTAGCTAGTGAAAGAATGCGGCTCCGATTGGTCCCCCACTCTAGAGTTTGGCGAGCAACGGTATCACATTGGCCGAAACGACGAAAGTGGGGATGGGCGGAGCGAGCGGAATACTGCCCTGCCCCCTGTGTCGCCCCACTAGCCAACTTCTCGCAAACGCACAGTACATAGCGTAATATAATTGATTTTGTAGATACACTACATTGTTTTTAACCAGTTTTTCAAGTAGCTTTTACTGTCTGCTTCTTAACTATTCACAGAACATCCCGTAGCATATGGGAACCGTTTGCATATGAAGGCAATAAACACAGTCATATAAACATACGTTCAGTAACCTAGTAATATTAAGAAGTGTTTACAAAATTAGAATGCAAGGCCCAACCAGTCAGATACTAGGTTCTGTATTTAAATAGTTAGGTCGAATTAATTAAATTACATATCCAATTTCTGAAACACAATTAATCCAACATAAAATTCGCTTTAACTCGAACACAACTTCAAATAGGATATACGTTTATACGAATATTTTTTATTATTCTTATGTGCAAAATTAATTGCTGAAGCGGTTCCTATATGCTACAAAACACCCTGTTATGCTAAAACGCAAAAATAGATAATCATTACGAAGCTTTTCTGTTCGATTTTCTTGTATCCAGTGACTAAATTTGCTTTTGTCCAATTATTGATGCTTGCGTAAAGTCAAAAGTACGATTATTGGGGCGTCTTGGTGTTTTCTTATTAAAATAACTTTTTTCCACTAACAGAACAGTAATTTTTTAATCAATTGAACCTAGTAATTAAATGTCAGAGAGATTTTATTTTTCTTTAATCATCCGATTAACGAGTCTTTTCTTTAATGAATTTATTGAACGAATATCTAGTCAAACCTCAAACCAACAAAGGATTCGGTCTGAATCCGGCTTCATGACAATAACGACGAGTAAACAATATTATTTAATCTCTTATCTTCTAATATAATCTCAATACTAGGTTCGAGCAACCCTTAATCATCGATGATATTTACAAGAAAACATACTTTCGATGCTTATTTTTTAATAGACTTTTGCACAATGACAGTAACAATAACGTAAAACAAATCATAGTAGGGAAAAGTGAAAGGGTAGCATTTGATAATGATTATCGGTAACAAAAACAAATTTAGGTCATTTATAATTGTTATTTATCTGCCAACGGTGTTTAAATTACCAAGAATAAAAAATCCCTCAGAAATTTAATTAAGTATTTTTTCAGCCATTAATGCTCTACGTTCAAACCACGTTTCATTAGCTTCAATATTTTAAGCACTGTCACTGTGCAAAGGTTTGTTAAAAAGCGATAGTCATACTTACGTACGTTTTCTTGTCGGTGACATTCCCCCTCTAACATACTTCGAAGTCCTCGAAATCGACGGTGTAGTTACCAAAATAAATAATTACTCTTTTTTTTATATTACAGAACTTTTTTTTTATACCGATTATTTCGAATTCTACTGTTCCGACTGAAAAGAGAACCACAGTAATCTTGTACGCTTTAGAATAGAATGAATTCCACTTAATTTATTGCGTGAACGTCCCTGTATACGATTATTTATTACAACAGGAGAAACCACGGCCGAAGTGATTGTAATTGTAGTCTTTGTTGAATTAGAGTAGTGCTCTGTTTTTTTTTTTGTTTTGTATGTTGTTATCGTTTTTTTTACTGTTGCATTTACTTAACAGGAATAATTTTACAGCGGAGATCGTGTACATTGTGTTTTTTTATTCTCGTTCAACATGTAGCATAACATTAACGCAAAAATATATGAAGTAAGAAGTTGTTGAAAGTTTCCGTATTGGACGTTACACTTACTTTTGTTTCAGTTGCAGCTAAGATCAATAAAACAGTTAACACGCATGTCCCACGACACTGCATGAATTACTGTAACATTTGCAAACAATTATATAAGTAGTTTCCCCACGTAATTCTATAATTTTTTTTTTGTTTTTCGTTCCATTAGTTTTGTGCCCTGTTGAGAGTTTTTGTTTCACTTTGATTTTTACTGCATCCAAAACGACTGGACAGAGTTGTGCGCGTATCAATCGTACGGATAATTTATTCGCGCGAGGCGAGCTGCAATCGAGAAAGCAATAAATTAACTTAATCCACGTAACGAAATTATTTCGCACAAACAACTGTGGTATATTTTTTTATACACGATACCGTTCGTGCGAGAAACGGAATCTCATTAGACAAGTAAGGCGAATATTGTAAAAGAAATCGTGCTCGAACCCTGTATACTTCGATGGTCGTTTTGATTGCATATTGTAACAACTTGATTCTGTATAATTTGCAATGTACGCTACTTTGATCAATATACTTTGTACCATAAAAATGTTGTTGTTCATTTATTAGATATCGCTTCCTAATTCTGTGCTTGGAGCATTTGAAAGTAAACGTTAGCATCGGAGACAAGTACAGCGTGTATGATTAATCATTGTTTACATTATTTATATTGTACGTTTGATTGCTGCTTCTATTGTTTAACGCGAAGCTGATATTCCATAAATAATAGATGCATAAGGGAAGCAATTATGCAGGCTATATTCCAGTCGAATTCCAAGATAATGAAGAAAATTCTTATTTAAACGTATGCCAAATTTGACCTCCCTTCCGAGGTCCAACCACCATTCTACTTCGACAATATTTAGTTACAAAGACTACTAGTATAACTGATTTTATTAAACTGTATTTCAATTAGCAAACAAAGTACCATTAGATTGTGAGTCGTTTATATTATATTATGTAGTTTATGCATGACGTTACACTAGTGCATTTCAGCCAAGTATTCAGACTTATTGCTTAGTCCCTAACATGTATAGTAACGTACGAATGTTTTATGATCTGAATTTTTTTGTTTTTTCTTCCAACGGTAAGGCTTGATGAAAGGGTATAGCCGAATAAGGGGGTCAAATGTGCCCCCAAACCGAATAGAACGAGCCACGGGTCATTCGATAGCAAAAAAAAAATAACCCCTGTGTGCAAATTTTTAACTTGAAATCACGACCGTGGGGGTAGTAATGGGGTGAAAACGAAAATCATGTTTTTGAATTATTTCTCTTGACCTATTGAGTAAAAAAATGTAAAAAATTTCAGAGACATTTCGGGTACCGGGGCACATACTTTGGGAGATTTTCAGATTTTTTGATTGAAGAACCAGGTAGTGAAAAATAAAAAACAGCAAAAAATGCCGAAAAATGCCGATTACGTATTGAAGGAGGCCCGGAACTACTTTTATACTTTTACAGTAAACAGGTATTACTATTACTATTACTCTCAATTTTTTTCAGATTTTTCATTTTGGTGCGCCGCAGTGAAAAAAAATAAAAACCGAGTTTTTCCTCGTTTTCTGCGTATTAGAGTAACTTACACGTTGAATTTTTATGCATCCTTCAATATATAAGTGTTTTGTAGACTGTTTAATGTTTCTACACTAAGCAGAATTACATAACAATTGAAACAAATAAAATAAAGCCAACCGTTGAGCGCAATATATCCTAGAAAATCAATGATATTTTCAACGGCGTCGGTGGCGCAGCGTTAGAGTGTCTGACTGCTGAACCGCTGGAAGTTTTTTTACCGTAGGTTCGAGTCTCTCTTCTGGACTTAGTATTTTTTTTTCTTCATTATTTTTTTTTTCAAATTCTAACTATATAACAATGCTTTATATTTATTTATAAGTCTTGAAGTGTTTTTTGCGTTTTTATTTTTTTTGTCAACCACGATTATTGTTTAACATCTCTTACACTGAAATTAATGTGAAATGTTAGTTTTCAAATCTCTTACCTTTGACTATTGTGAATGGATCGGAGCAGACGATTGTATATTGGCTTACTATTACTTTTTCTCGCCCTTCGATCAAGCAGATCTTTCCTTCTCGTTCTCTTTCTTTGATAAATATGAATGTTTGCTGCGGCTTTAGTATCTAACGTAGACATGTAAGGGCCATTCCACGCCAAATCTATTAACCCACTCTCTGCCAATGATACTTTTTTCTAATAAACCCATTTTTAAGTACCAGTTTGATCGTTTCATGCTTATTTTTGAATGAAGTATCATTGCTCGATGGAAACCACGGGGAAAAATGATTAATTGTCCTACCTGCGTTACGAAGGAAATAAAAACGCAAAAAATACTCCAAGACTATATTTATACATATTTCAGGTTAAAATATTTGTAAAATGCTATCAGAACATTTATAAATAAATATAAAGCATTGTTATATAGTTAGAATTTGAAAAAAAAAATAATGAAGAAAAAAAAATACTAAGTCCAGAAGAGAGACTCGAACCTAC